TGGCGAGCTGGTAGTCCTCGGCCGAAGGCCTTCGAACTAGCGTGACCGTCTTAACGTGTCGTGGGCCACCCTGGCAGTCACACCCATGCCATTCAGGAGAACTGACGGTCGACTCCAACATCCTTCCCAAACAGAGCGTACTCAGGGCTCAAACGGCAAAGACATAGAATGCCGATCAGTTTCCCTCCTTTGTCTCGCACGAAGATTGCAATCTTCAATCGCAGTTGCGTGAGTTACAAACTCGCCCAGACCCCGAACAATATCGCTTTGCCTTTGCACAGGCTCAATGTAAAGATACTGGGAACATCGCCCGAGATGATTGATTCGGCCGAGAATAGGTACAAATTCTCCCGAATGCTGGACAGGATCAAGGTGGACCAGCCCTCCTGGAAAGAGCTTACAAGCATCGAGGACGCACTACAGTTCTGCGAAAAGGTCGGTACAAGTCTCAACACCCCTATTACCCTTCCTTCAGCCCTTCCATCGCGAGTAGTGCAGAATTAGACTCATGGGACGGGTTACCGTGCTTGCCGTCAACTAAATCGGTCTTGTTGCATCTCAACGGAACAGAGGTGACGGAGAAGGTTATTAGACAAGGTGCGACAGGCATGATCATTGAACGGGCACGCTATGCTCCCTCTAATTTTAAGAGACACTAATATTGATAGAGTGCCTGTGGAAATCCGATCCTTATATCGTAAGGAAGCCCGACGACGCTTTGGCAGTTAAATTTTGTTACTTTGGAGAATTGACTTTTGTGCCCCTTGACTGGGATCTAGAGGACATTGATGATCTTGCTTTCTTGGTTTTGACCGACATTGGGCAATTTGGCGCAGCAATGTACGAAGTCATGACCGCATTTAGATACAAATTCGACCTGACACGAGCGAAAGGAACCTGAAAATTTGTACACTTGTCCACGACGAGGCAGCCTTCCATCAAACCCTTCCCCCCCCCCCCCCCCCCCCCCCCCCCCCCCCCCCCCCCCCCCCAAAAAAAGGTTAGGTCACGTTCTTGAGAAATGCCGGACTCAGGCAATTCGAGTCCGCTAAAGAGCTCGCTGTAGAGCTGGACCAGGAAAGAGATCCCCCGAGCTGTGATGCAAAAATTTTTGAAAGGGGTGGGAGCGTTCGGAGCAAGTGTGTGGGAATTAAAATCGGAGAGAAATCAAAGACCGAACAGAGGAAAGGAGATAAATGAGAGGGAGGTTATGGAACCTAACCTTGTTACACAAGATGCCGGCTTCGCCTCGCCAGATCACAGCTGGATCCATGCTATGGAGCAGGAGTCTGTATCTCCTGCATCAGACGCGATGTTGGCTGCAGTCGATCTACAACCGTATAGCCCAGACCAGGGTGCTGTGCGAGGTAGCACAAAGCAGTCTCTGGCTGTTCCCAGCAGATTGGCAGAGGGTTGGAGTGCTACTTATTGTGGCTATCATTCTTTCCCTTGCCGCTCGTTCCCCATTCCTGCTCCAACAATGGCGATTGAAAGACCCTTCCCTGGATTTGAAGCACGCAGAGCATTAGGGATGCAACACATACCCCGTTCTAGGGGTTCACGAATCTGCTCGGTCCGACACTCTGTCCTCTTTACCCTTCAGAGGCGTCAACCCTCGGGATTGCGAAGCGCGCCGTGAATATAAGGCTGTCGTTTCCATCTTCCTAGACAGACATGGGAAACCTGGCTTGTTCCCCCTCATTGCCGGATACGAAACAGCACACAACTCCGCTTATTAGCTTTTTGATATTGAAAAACCATCTCCTGAGAAGTCACTGGTATGGTCTCATTATCCTCCTGGAATTGATTCACGTTAGCGGAGTGTTTGTTCTCAAGTAGGAAAGCCAAGTCTAACTCAACAGTCTGCCGCAACGTCTGTTAGAATACCCCTCTAGGTAGACAGACAACCAAAAAGGCGTATCGGAAAGGGAAGCGAGCAAAATCCGGGCCGATATTACCGGTGCCATTTCCCAGCGCGAAGTCGTCATGTTGGGATCTGATCTGTGCGGAACCACCTCGTGTGCAGGTCGGAATAGGACCCAGCGGTCGAGCATGAGAGAATTGGAGGCGGACGAGGAAGACAACGCCCAGGAAATGGTGCTCCCTGTCCCTCCCCTTATCCATGCTCTGATAAAGAAGCAGTCTAGTGTGAGACGAGCTAGCGATGCGAGTACCCATTCTCATCTCGAAGCTAGCTGGCTTGTTTTTCTTGCCTGTGGTCACGCATGTAGTTTGTACGCCAGATGATGCTCCGGTAGAGGTAAAGGTGAAGGTGAGTATGGCGGTTGATTAGTGGAAGGGGTAGGGGGGACCAAAGACGCATTCGATGATCAAGGGGACCAGAACTGTGGCCAGTCTCTCGAGTATATACCTACCTGACTAACCAGCTGGATATGAAGCACGGGAGATGAGTGACCATCTGTTCACATCATGTCCCAGGCTGGTCGACCCGATAAAGGTACTCAGCAACGTTAAACCAGCCTTCGTATTCGATCTCGTCCTTTGTCTCGTCCAGGTCATAATGGTAATGCCCCCCCTTGGTCGTCTCTGTCTCTGCATCTCCATTCCCACAATCGCCACCACCATCTCCTCCTCGGTGAGAAGGAGCAACAGTGAAGCAGTGCGTATGTTCCATCCTCAACGCCAATCCGCCGTCGTGGCCTGAGTGCAACACGCTCAAACACACCAAGGGCCCATCCTTGTCCCCCTTCGCCGTGGAAAAGGACATGTCAAAATACCGCAGCCATTTGTCGACGTCAGCGCGAGAGGAGAACGGCCGGGCCGGGAAATCCGGCATAACGTGCAGCTTTGCCGTGCCCTTCTTAATGAGAAACACTCCGCCCAGCGAGACCAGCTTATCCCCGAACGAAGCTCGCAGCGCGCGCTGGATCGTTGCGGTGAAGTTGAGCGGGCCCGTGCGCGATCGCGCCGTCATGTGCAGACACTCTCCGGGGACGCCGTCGGAGCAGAACAGATTGCACATGAGGGCGAACCCGGTGCTATCGTCCGGGATCCGAGCACAGCACACCGATTCCGAGGCGGTGATTTTCGCGTAGTGGGTACGGTTGCGCACGGAGGAGGCGCCTCCGCCTGTGCCGGCAGCGGTCCCATACGCGAAGTTTGGCATGAGCTCCGAGTTCTGACCTAGCACATAAAAGGGCCCGGCTCCCGCGCCGAGCATGAAGCCTGTGGATGGCGACATATCAACTTGCCGCGCAATGGATGCCAGGTCATACTTCCTGGTCAAGTCGGGCGTCGGGGAGAGATTTGGGGGCCCACCCACATCGACAATGCGAGGAGATCCAGTGAGCCCAGGCCCAGCCAGGTGGTACGGTGCCGCGGTGAGATCTGGAGGGGTGGCAAGCGTACACGAGGAGTAGGCGAAGTTGGAGGAGAGGCCAGAGGCGATAGCCTCAGCGAGAGCTGAGGGCGAAGGCGGCGACAGCGCAACCTTCTTCATCGGCCACGGGTTGTGCGAAGTCATCACGGTCGATGTCGTTTTGTTTCAGCAGCTCGTAGTTGACGAAGGAAGACTTTGTTGTTTCGATTCTCTTTCCAGGTTACCCTACCTAATCAAGTGGAGCGAGATTTTCTTCTCCCACGCCCGTTCATTGTCTCGGAAGGTGAAGAAGAGCGGAAAAAACCGATGTTGAAGCGATTCCGCACGAGCTGTCAGCATGGAATAACAATCTTCCGGCACACGCGATACACGATTCAGATGTGAACAGCGACAGCGACGCCACAGAAACGCCAGTAGGATGGCGAACTCGTTACACATTGAAACAAGGTTGATCACCGGCCAAGGCGAAAAGGCTAGAGCGCCCTACGCGCGGCGAGCGAAGAATTGATACGGTAACAAAGACCACGGATGCTGTAGCTTCCAGATGATTCGATTCAATCCATGATAGCGGCCTGAGGAGGTTACTCGTCTAATCGACACGTGCCGACCCTCGCGTTTTGAGAACCGGTGTGCTTCAAGGCTTCGACAATAGACTCCCTTAGTATCATTGCAAAAGGGGAAGCTCATGTACGCGTGCATACATGCTGTGTATTTGGAGTTTGTAAGACGTCTTCCGTTGCAGACGTCGGGCTGGATATTTATGAAACGGCTCCTTCGGCGACCTTCACCCTCTTGCCTGAAAACGCCAACATGTTATTGCCGTCAAATCGCTGGCGACGGGGGGATAAAAGATGAACCACTCGGCGGCAGACAAATAGCCAAAGAGCCGCTCCACGGGCAGAGGTCCCATATTGCTGAGCCCGCTCCTCGATAAGTCGTCTGAACTGAATAGAACCACTTCTCTCGACGGCATTCGAAATCCCTATAGCAAATTCAAATTTCGTTGGGAAGCTGGGGTCCGGCACCTCACGGAGGCCGCCCAGGAAGCATTGCGAGCCCCTGGACTGGAATACCACTGAATGGGCATTGGGGAACCGCTGCGCCCGGACGAGATCCCTTTCTAAAATTGAGAAGCCTCAAGGTGGACTCTGATAGAGAGGTGAAACAACATGGTAGGAAATGGTGAATAGGTATTCAGCGCTGAGAACGGGATTGGGGAATGTGATCTTCTATGTGCTAGATCTGGGAGAGATTTTGATTGGTTGGAATGATTTTCAAAGGTTTGGGTTGAAGAGTATGATTGAGACAGGGAAATTTCTCAAACGATTCTATTTAAATCGATAAAAGAGGCGAAGATGAGAGCACGGCTCCAACGAGTTGTTGCCAATATTATGTTGCTCTAGAAGGCCATTTCGATGCTGTGATGCTGTCGCAGAGCCTATATGGCCACCAATCCCGACCCTGACACTAGGTCACCAGGCTCATTCTTGCCACGGCTTTCCGGTCACCCTCTTGTGCCCAAAAATTCGCCTTTCTGGCAGTGTCCACGATGATCGATCTCACGGTCCCCATCCACTGCGAGCGGGATACCACTTCAACCTGGTTAGAGACCCAAACTTTTCTATGTCGAAGTCTATAGGAGCTTACCCTTTCCTGCTTTCTAGACCATTTTGATTATGGGGTCCTTTTCTCGTGAGGAACGTTTTGACCGTAGATAGTGTTGGACGAGGAGCTTGACGCGGAAGTAAATCCAGATTAGCGGCAGACAGGCTCCACCGATCAGCCCGACAAACGGACCCAAGAAAATGATCAGGACCGCTGCGGTTTTCTCGCAGATCCAAGAAAGCCGGCTCTGGTCCACCACGATCTCGTCCATGTTGGGGTCTGTTTGCCGGAGGTTCAGAAGTCAAGGGGCCTGTGTCAAAATCGAGTCACTGAGAGTCTCTGTGCCATGCCAGAGATGTTCGCCCCTTACGTTGGATGCTGCGGCGCAGTGAAACGATGAAGTTGAGGTTGGAGATGGAGTTCATCGACATGGGGCTCAGCGACACTGACTTCTTACCGTATTGCACACCCCCTTGGCAGAACTAGTGACGCTGGTGGGCGGGCGGGCGCCAAAATCTTGTGCTGTCCAGGCCCTCGTAAATCGGCGAAGACGGGATCTCTCGACGCCCTGGATTCATCCCTCGCTCCAAGCCTCCCACTTGTTCGACTGTTTCTCCAGCGCGGGGTCCAGCCTGTCGGTGGCGCTTGGCGGTGAATCCCAAGTGGTGAATGGCCACCATCCAGCATGCCTCCATTGGTACTGGCCGTGGGCTGTTGTGCCGGTGCCCATATCGCCCACGTCGACTTCTTTCTTAGGAAAAGATCTAGCCGCACCGACAGGGTCTTTCTTCCCCTGGGTGGCTGGTCCCAAGACACGTCGGCGTGAACAGATCGTTCAGGTCCGTGGGACAACACCACTCTAGCTATTCCATCGGATATGCATCTGTGCTGGATGATGTCGACTTTCAAAACTGCCTGCAGCATCTTTTGGGAGGGATGCGTGCCGCGTCTCTATCCATGCTGCTAGAGTTTGCCACGGACGTGCCTAGCTCGTTGGCCGCTAGGCTGATAGGTCGGGGCAAACAGTGAGCAGCTGATCGGTCCCACCTTTGACGCTCAGCTCTCCGCTTTTGTGCACCACGTTCAGCGGCCTAGATAGCAGATTTTCTTGAAGCTGCATCGATGGATGGCGTATCACAGGGTCGTGGGTTTGGGATGACTGTTGAAATGGTCAAATGAGCCGTAGCTCATGCGTGGCCTCTCTCCCCACCGGCAGTTCCTCGCGTTCCCCAGGCAGTAGCTGAAAGTTGCCGCCATCCCGGTGTAACCTGAAGCGTCAAGTGTCTGGAGTCCGACTTTCCACGCATCCAGAAAATGAGTAATTTGGCCAATAGCCAGGACCAGCCTTAACCGATCGACATCGCAAGCGCCCTAACCTCGTTTGAAGGGCGCATTAGGATGTCGCCCGGCACCAATCGGACCCTCGTGCCTATGCCCGTAGGCGGAGCCCCAGCTGTCGGAAAAACGACAGGTCAGATTTACCATTTTGAACGTCACAGAAAAGCACAGGCGCCGTGGCGTCTTCTGGTCGATGTAAGAGTGGAAGACTCGGCGAATGACCTCTGGCGAGAATCATTGCCTATTGAATCTTCCCTAACCCTCATTGGCGAAAGAACTCTACAATACCTGCACATCTCTACCTCATGGCGCGCCATCGTGCGAGAATGCTCTGGTCTGGAGTTGAGACGGGGCACTGCACTCAGGTTGGTCGACCATGGGTCCATCCTTTTGTCAATGCCAGAAAAATGCATGAATGCGGGGCACTCGCCATCCTTTTCCCTTTCGTTTATCTGAGTGGAGATTGCCCAGGCAGGGCGGGTATCAAGGGGAAAACTCTAGGATCTTGGAGCTATCATCAGTCATCATGCAAATTACTTTGATTGGCAACCTACTCACAGACCAGAGCGACCTAGGGGCAGACGCGGGCAAGAGGCGAGGCCTGGGGATGGCGGACCGGGAAACTCTGGAGACCACATGTTAGTCTGGGAGAAAGCGGCCGTAGCGACGCATTCAACGAGCGGCAAAGTGAGACACTAGTGACAACATTTACGGATGAATATGATCATTCAAACACTATTGAAGCCGCCTTGTCGTGCTGCATTTTGATCAGCCACGCATATGACCCAAGAGGCCATCCCGGCGAAGCGGATACGAGAGTCGGCATCAGTCAGGCAGAATTCGATGGCCCGGGGTGAGCAAGAGGCTCCAACCCGGCGACCCCTTTCTGAAAGACTGACGTGTCTCAAGGTTTATGCCTACTTTGCTCCCTGTCAATTGTCGAGCAAATACCCTGCGTCGAGTTGTGCCAACATCCACTCACGGGAGAAGCCGGTTCCCTGGAAAGAAAGAACGCATATTGTCAAGAGCCCTGCATCAACTGTGCATGATTGCCCGGCCTATTCGCTGGGATGACTAGTCTTGGCATCAGTGAAATGCCAGGACGCAAAGTTGGCGCCAGAGTCATGAAATCATCGAGAGCGGATAATGGCAGAGGCGTCCTGGTGCTGGGTGGATGTGAGCTGCTTCATCCTATCAATCCTTGTACAGTTAGGCCGATTGGAGATCTGCGATCCCCTCTAGCGAGTGGCTCTTTCGGAGAGTGAGTCGAATGCAAGTGTCTGCTATTTTCTAGCCCGCTGGTTACGAGAGTGTTTTCAATCTGTGGGAGTAAATCAAGGTCTCCTCGACAACCTGTCACTTATGGGTTTGGCCACCTGTCTAGCCAGATGTCCAGCCATTTCTCCTGCCAGTTGTGGTCGAGAGCGTAATCCACCATCTCTCCGCAGGGGTGACTAGCTTCTGCCTCTTGGAACCAGATGTGTTTGTTGAATTCTTGGAAGTCATGGTAGAACTCGGTTGAATCTTCCGTCTCCTTGTTGAGCCGGTAGAGATGGAAGATTTCCAGTGCGGGAACACCGTCGTCATCCATGCTCATCCGGACACTGATGATCTCTCCCGGCACAATGGCGGTAGGATCTCCGTCGGAGGGGCATTGGCCCTTTCGCCTTACCGAAACCTTGCGCCAGATCTGGGACAGCTCTGTGTTGTCGCTTCGGTGAAATAGTACTAAAAGGAACCGACTCACTTGGATCTCTTTGCCCAGTCTTCCAGTCTGGATTTTCAAGAGGGTGGCGGGGTGGTGGAGGCGATGTAGATCCATTTGAAAGAGATTGTTCACTAAATCGCGCAAGGCGGGCAGTTTTGACAAATCAAAACCCGAGTCTCTCACGGCGGAGAGAATACTCGCGAACGGCCAGATATGGCTGCGATCCTTGCGCATACCCGAGTGGTGGGTCTCCAGATTTCCGTGCAATCTGCCGTCATGAACATTGACCATCAGGCAGTGAAGCACCGAGATGAAGAAAGTTAATTGCGGCCGTTCGGGAGAAGGGTAGAAGGCGACAGCCTTGGAAGGAGTCCAGCCCTCCAAGGGAGATATTGGGATGTCCGTAGCGGGGGCAGTTGGGGTTGTTGGCCTGCTTAGGCCAGGAGTACATTCCTCACGTAGAGTCGCCATTGTGTTGGGTGCAATCCCGACCCCAACGTAGAGGTTCCGTGAAATGATTTTGCCTCGTCGCAGGAGAGTGATGCGGAAGCGAGCAAGGCCAGACGGCGGGAGGCTACAGTTGTATCCCGAAGACAGATGATGAAGGTCGAAAGCAGCAGTGACTGTCGAGGTTTGATGTGGCGTTTTAGGGGACGGCGAGGTCGATCCGACGGGTAACAACCGGGGGAGGGGAAATGCGAGAGATAAATCTGGCACGAAGGCCACTAAATGCTAGTAAGATGCACGGTTCGTAGGAGTTGTGGAAGATGAGGCAGGAGGGATGAGGGATGAAAGGCGTGAGGTGAGAGGTGAGAGGTGTGAGAGTGAGTACGGTAGAGAGAAGAGAAGCGAGATGTCAGCAAAGTGCCAGGGACTTGAGGGGGTGCTGTATCTGTCACCACTCAATCGACCGAGCAATATATGCTGGAAAGGGAAGGAATCAACACGACACAGCAAGGAGGCGCCGACGGGAAACCATCTTGGCGGAGAAGGAAGGAAGGAAGAAAAGGAGGAAGGAGGGAATCAGGCCATCACCATGTAGATGTACAGCCTCGTTCAACCGCACACAGAATGGTCTCGTCCCTGTCCGGGTCGCTGGGTCGATGAGGTCACCGCCAACCGTCACATCGCCTGCTCGACCTCCCTGCCCTTCGCGACATTCCTCACCTCTCAGGCTGCCTCCCTAGGGATCTCAGCAACTGCGTCATTCTTGATTTGCGACAACAGGTCAACGTGGTCGCCCTCTTGAAGGCTCAATCCCTCCAACCCGACATGGCACAAAACTGGGCAAGCAGCCTTACTCCAGTTGACATTTGATACCTGTTGCACGACAAGACCGTCCGCTGGTACGCTCAGTTCTTTCTTCATAAGCCGATGGTCACTGCAACGGTCACTTCTGTGTCGCTGTCGAACTGCAATCGGAGGGACATGCGGTGCAACAACAATATCAGAAGGAAACCTCCAACTGGTCAGACGAGGGCCCGAGGCTGTGAGCACTGCATCAAGTCTCATCGAAAGGTGAGTCTTCCTCCCCGGAAAGGGGAAGACAAAACTGATTGACAATGGTCGTTTCTTAGTGCAGGGGATCGCGATCATGAAAGTGCAAGTACTGCGGAAAGACGAAGAAACATTACAGCTATGAATCTCCCCTTCCACAAGCGGGGCCGACGTCGTGGGCAGAGCAAGAGAATCTGTCCAGCGTTGGATGCCGCAAAAGGCAAACTTCGAGGATCTCGGAGGGCAGGTAGCGGCTCCTTCACCACCCAAGACATTGATCCGGGAACTTTTATTGGTGACTACAGCGGTCCAGTTGTTCTGGACAAAGAGTTTGCCGTCGAGAATCCCGATAGTAATGTGAGAATCGGGCTGGCTGTATTGAGCAAGCGCAAGCGCAAGCGTGACAGAGCCTTGAGAATGACGTCCTGCAGAGCTGACCGCTACAGATCATTCGATCAATTGTGACGACGACAAATCTTCGAGGGTCTTTCATCAACCACGTTCCGGATTCCAAACAAATGCAAGTTCGAGGTACATAAGGACAAGAGAAGGCAAAAACATCCTTATCCACCCTATCAAACATATAAAAGTGGGTGAGGAAATTCTAAAGCACTATAGGTATAGCCTCTGTTCTGATGGCGGGCGTGCCAGTACTGATGTTGATTGGCAGAAGGACTACGTGTTTTCAGACGGCTGCTTGTACACGGAGCGGCGTGGAGTGAGCTAGAGTGAACCACAAGGCTCCAGGAGGAAAGGGGGACCGAGGACCGGGAAAGCAGAAGACTCTTGAATGCTTTGCCGTAGAATGCGGATGTCAGCTTTATGCCTGACCCGGCCGATATGGTTCGCCGTACCAGGTACGCTTTAAGAAATAAGAAAAGGAATCGGCTGACCTGCCTTGCTACCAACCTTGGGAAGCTGGCGCTTGTTCGGAGCATTACTCCGCGAGTCCGTAATGTCTCGGCGTGGACTGCCCCGCGCTCGGAGCCCACAAGCCGTCTCACCCTTGACCAATCATGCCGACAAGGGCCCCCACCTGGCTTCCACCTCTCTTCACTTCTCGCTTTCTCAATGCCCACGTGCCAGTCTACCACTCCATCTTCGCTACGGGGTACAGCGAACGGGGTGCTTGCTCACCCACTCTTCGTCCCGTGCCTATCCCACCCAGTCCCCATCGAGTTCCAACTAAAAAGAACCCCTTTGTTTTCCACCCCAAAACACACCAAAAATGAGAGAAGGAAAAAGCAACCATGGGTGGTTGGGTGCCAAAAGAAAAGTGAGGCGGAGGCTTTGCAGGATGCAGATGCAAGTGGAGAGCAAAGTGCGCTTCAAGTGCAGTTGTGTAACTTGGACGGACTTCGCAGGGAAGGCTACCCGGGTTTGGCTGGGTCCTTGATTGGTCAAGTTGGGTCCCTGGTCGGCTGGTAGGCTGGTGGGCGGGTGGGCTGGCCAACAGTGAGAGTTGGGCAGCCAGAGGCCGTGGTTGAGGTCTTGGGGTTGGTCGAGTGTGTTGGGCAGCAGTGGCAGTTACGAGAGCAAGATCGAGATGGCCAGAGAGATAGGACTTTGAGTTGAGTGAATGGGTGGGTGAGTGACTGTCCTCCCTTCCCAGTGCCTGACTCCATCTCTGACTACCTTCGCCCGCCGTCGTCGTTTTGCACCCGAAAACTCCGAAAAGGTTGGAGCGTGCTGCCTGTATACGGTACGAGACCTAGTTCCAATGCCTCCATAGAAACTTAAAAGTCCTGGGGTACCGAGTACCGCTTTAGCAGGACGTACGAGTATCGAGGTCTCCACGGAGGGAGGGGCGCAATATATTCCTTTATCTTTCACGGTTTCGCAGTGTCACCGGTGGAGCTTTCATGTTCTCGCATTGCCAAAAGATGAACTTTTCACAAGCCCCAATCTGGGCCGTGGCACAAACCAAACATACCTAAATGTGTAGCCTTCCGTCAAACATAGCAAGACAATCCAGGTGGCAATCTCAGTGCCAACCACCACCAGCCAAAGACATCTTTCTCCACTCCATTTCTGCTCTACCTTGGACTCCTCTCGCAAACATCAACAACCAAAGACACGGCCCGAAAGAAAGATAACCGTACCGCATCGAACCACCGGTTGGGATCATTCAGAGTCCAAACCGCGATCATCCCGATCCCGATCCCGATCACTCCAGACCCCCCCTAATCCAGGTCCAGGTCTACCACGTCCACGTTACTCTTCATGAAATACAGGCATTTTTCCACTCTGGCGCGTAGGAAAGACACATCGTCACGATAGCTTTGCCAAATCCTGACCTTATTCTCGACCTCTGTTTCCTCTCGTAGAGCTTTCAGGAACACCTCGGCTTTGTGATGAAGGCCCATGACCTCGAACATGTCCTCAATGTTTGGGTCTTGGGCGTACTCGTCGCCCTTGGCCACTTCCATGATTCGCCGATTCAGGCATTCTGAAGCGGTGTTCATCATCGCCGTTGCCAGGGCGCCATGGACGGCGCCCAACTGTCGTGACGAAAAATCCATCTTCTCGGGTGGCGTGTCAGCAGTGTATTTCAACAGGAGGAGACCAAGAGAATCATAGATCTCCCACATCTGCTTGAGCAGCTTCACCACAGATACAGGCTTCGGGAAACTCGAGCGTTAGCAATGGCTTCCCTTTGAGGGACTTTGGCTAGGGAAGGGAGGGGAGGGAAGGTATTGGAAATTACCCCGTAACGATTGATAATTGACATGTCTTGAAGAGGATTGAGACCTCGATAAGACTCGTCAGTGTTGGCATACTCGATTGCCAGGAAGAACAGGTCGTTAAAGTTGGCCAGCCTAATCGAGACTGGCCCATTGCCCGCCAGCTCGACAGGTCTGTCGAAATGCTGGAAACCAGTATCAGCGAATCCTCCATTGCGCCAGACCCTGGGATCAATGTCAATGATCGAACTGGCAGGCACGACGGTGACATGATTTTGTCCAAAATCGATGGCGCTTCGCGAAGGTAAAAGTCCTCGATCATATAGATCGGACAGAAACGAACACTGTAGCAAGTGGTCAACGCGGCCTTGAAAGTAGGCCTCTTGGCCTCTGCAAAACTCCACTGAAATAGAATCCATCGCTATTTAAATCTGATCCATTGAAGTAGATGGATGGTGATGGACAGTCAATGGAGGGGAGGCCCAGGAGAGAAACGAACGTCGACGATGGGGTAAGAAAGAGGCGAGGAGAGAAGGCAGACCACAGGCACACCGGAGGTGATGATCATTATAGCCAGAAAAGGGAGGTAAAAGAGGCAGAGCAGAAAGAGGAGAGGAGGAGGAAGAAGATGGACATGTTACATCACGACCAGGACGAGGCGGCTGAACGCTTGGCGGCTCCGACCTCATCACTTTCATGCCCTCACCACCCTGGACTACCCTCCCTTCATCGCCTCTGGTGCTTCATTCCGTCCCTCCCTCCTTCGCACATGCTGCATCTTAGCATCCGCGTCTGCGTCTGCATCTGCATCTGCAAACCCCCCGCGTCTCCCCCTTTTCTTCTCGATTACCATTGATTGCAAGACTGACACTTCCCTGTTGCGACCAGACCGGATCTCACTAGCGACGCAGTCTGACTCAACACCCATCAACCAACAACGTGAGTTTCCCCGCTCGGCCCCCTGGGCGCTTGCGTACAATCCCTGGCTCATGGCAGGACTGAGAGGGCATGGAGGAAGGCTGGAAATGCACTTCCCTTGCATCCAACAAAGCACTGACGAGGTCCACATCGCGACGGTCCCCACCCAAGAAAAGTGGCATGCGAGGGATTCTTATAATGTCTCTGATAAAGTGCCTGATGATGGAAATGGCTGGAAGAGGCAAAACGAGAGGTTGGAAAAAGGAGGCCCCCTCTGTCCAACCTATCATGTGTCGGATTCCGTTGCGCCACAATGTGTTGTGTAACCACACTCCCTTTACCACCAGAGTTGACGCCCTTGACGCGTCTCGGCCCTCCCCAAATCAGGAAGGCCGTAGTCCACCATTCGTGTTTCACGTCAAATCATAGCAGATTGTGTCAAGCCCCCATCATACGAGTCTACCTCCTGGGTTCACATCCCGTGCCGGTGTGCATATTGGCTCCGCAAGCCACTTTCGGATCGCAACCTATTGCTGGAATACTGCTTGTCCCATCAGTGAACTGTTCGAGCCTGGGTTGAGAAGCAGGACTTGGTGTGGTGAATGGCAGAACATCCTTGCACGAAGTTTGCCAAAGAATGCGAAAGCTCCATGGTCAATCCTTCCTCTTCTTTTCTGTCTTCTCTGCCATGCTGCCTTGGCAGCTCACCGCCTTCCGCCACAGTTGACCAAACGTGGAGCACATGGCATCCAACATCACGTGGCTGCTATTTGCAAGGCTGTGCTTGAAAGGCGCAATCCCTTTTCTTCGAAGTTTTGCGGCATGCTGCACAACAAACTTGGTTTGCTGTCGGCCATCTGAACTCCCTAGTGCACCTGTCAAATCGCTCTTCGCAGCCGAAGAAAAGGAAGGTTGATGTGGAAGCTGGGCATGAGGCATTCCTCTCACTTCGCCTGCGAGTATTCACTGCCGGAAGGGCGGCGATGTTGACACAAAACAAAACATTGCACATCCGAATCATTATTATTTAGGAACGATGTCTGCATTTACCAAGATGTGGCGGGCAAGATTGGCTTTTCCCCAGGTATACGGGGTATCAGTGTTCATTCGGTCCGTAGTAAGTGTCCTGGTGGTTGACTTGTATCCGTACAGACATCATCTGGCATGGTTGACAGCACATTGGCTGTGTGATGACCTAGAGGCCTAAGGTTTTTTGAAGGAGGAAACTTTCTCTGAGAAGATGCCGAAGCCCACGACAAACGGCACTCGGAGCAGAATGTGCGCGCCTTCAACATGAAGGAGCCTATCAGCGTTGAAGAACTCTGTCAAGGCCTCCCTGCCAAATTCGCCAAGAACGTGAGCGATATTCACGGCCTGGAACAGAGACGCCGGCCTGGCTATCTCTGTTTGCGAAAACTCTTCAACGATCTCTCCGTTGTCAAGGTTTTTCAGAATGAAAATGTCTTTGACTGGACGATCCGGGAGCTTCCACGGACGGAAGCAGGCAGCCGAAGCCCAGTGGTTGCCAACGGCGAGGTTGATAGAGGGGAAATGAAGGAAACATCCTAGCACATCCTCAACCAAAGAAGAAGCCACCGGGGCCATTCAGAGCGCTCCGATATTCAAAGTCGACATACGCAAGTTGTCAGCTTCGGACGCCCTCCCTGGAAGATCTTCTCGCAATACAGCCAATCCTCATCCAAAATATCCACACAAAAGAAGGGACGCCACGGTTGTCGATCATGAATCAATCCCCTAAGCAGAACGTTCAATGAAGTGACGATACGCTTCGACGTGCGTGTTGGTTCTAACAACAACACGCAGGGGAAGATAATGCATGACGGCCGAGGTTCAGACCAGACCCAGAGGATCACCACGACTGAACGACAGAAGTTACGGGCCAAGAGGCAGGAAGATGCCGAAGAGAAATCGATTGGCCTTGGAAAGTCCATGCGCGGAAAAGTCAACGCTGAAGAAGGGTCATAGTCGTGTGATCTCTGTCCGCCGTAAAGAGGAGCATGGTTCAGATCTAAATCGCACTCCCCTCAAATGACCACTCTTGAATAGAAGGAGTCACGAGCGTTGACAAAGAGGCAAGGCGGCATCCAAGACGTATCAGACGGTCCCTGGAAGATGCCGGCAAGGAGAGCAAATGTTGAAGTAGATAGATGCATCGGACAGCTGCACAGCACCAGAAGGAGCAAAGCCGGTTGGATACCAAAAAGCCAGAAAGTGTGTGATGTTCGATGTGCTTGAAGGAGGGAATTTTCTGCTTTTGTATGATGTCAATGGCTTTATGATTCAGGGTACGACGACATAACATTGGCTCAAAGGGAATTTGATGTATCGCTGAGCTGATTCATTCAACATGATTGAAATCGAACGCGAGGAGGGCAAGGGCAAAGGCAGTCGTATTGGAAATGAAGCCTCGCCTGTGGGTATCGATGTTGCAATACGGACCGGCTAACATCTGCAGCGTGACGGATTCGATGTTGAGGTCGCTGGTCCGCCAATGGCAGACATCCACCTTGCAAGGATCCTTGGCAGTTTTGGTGTTGTCCAGCTCAGCCTCATCATTCATATACCATCATCACCATGGTCCGAGTCAAATCGGTCTCAGCTCTCCTGTCGTCTTCTCCAACTTCTTCTTGCAAAATCGTCAATCCATCTGAGCTCCTAACTGCGGAGCGAATTTCCCTCGAATCCTGTCGTTTGCTGGTCTGTTGGCTTGCCCAAAACACACACAATCAAAGACAGTCTGGACAGTCGTCCCCGAACCTCACCCCACAAGACACCGACCTATCCCCAAATCCTTCCGCCTCAAATCAGAATGGCCATGATGACAGTGTATGAGGTCCAGTATACCCGGCTCCCAGCCTTCCATGCAGCCATCTATATACAGCAAGACGAAACAGGAGGCCTGTTGTACCACGCCGTCGGCTCGGGCATCGCTGGATTCCAGTACGAAGCATGTTCAACCAAGCGGCCTCAGAAGACCAGGAGCTTTTACAGGATGTGGCCAAAGGGAAGAGTGGCAGAGCAGGATCTACCTCGAGTCGACTTGATCTGTCAGGAAGTCCCCGTCCCTCGCATCCAAATAGTTTCTGGAGTGCAGATTCAGCGAGACTGCCGACATTGGGTGTATGAAGCCCTCAGTGACTTGCGGGCGGCAGGGGTTCTCCAAGAGATAAGCCAGAGACAGTGATGGGTCGCGGAATGGAATTGAATGCAATGGACGAAGGGAATGGGCGTGCGGTGACTGCAATGGCAATCACCATCCCATCTCATTTTTCCAACATGAACAGCCCCATGTAGTCGTTTGGATACGGGTCCAGGAATTTGCGTAGCCAATAATGCCAGTCATCCTCAAAACATTTCCTGACGATTGCGTTGCTAAGGTCCAATTCCGTGTCGAAAGGTCCGTCGTAGCCTGTCATCGAGACAGCAGTATGCGTCTTGTGATTGCACCCTGCGGATTCGAAGCAAACATTCCTTGCGTGTGGAGTGTGACCATCTACTCGTGCCAGGACGTTGAAGTTCTGGCCACAATTGTGACAGATAGCGTAACACACAGAGGACTGGGACTTCAGCAGACTGTTTCACAAACATCATCATTCACCCATCTTCAAGATCAACCCATTTTTCCATACTAGGCCACCCCCAACCACAAAGTGAGGGCGAACGTTAACGACCTTTGGGCAGTGAGGTGCTCGGCAAAGGCGCCCCGAGGCCGTCCAAATATCTCCTCTAGTGGGCAGCTTTACCAGCATATCTGTAGCTGGGGTATAGTAAGGTATCAATATCGTACAGGGCTTCGCTCGTGTGACGCCAGGCTTGAGGCTGCGTAGGTCAGTGGTGAGGTGGGTCTGTCGAAAAAAGTGCATGGAGTCATGGACTGCGAGCCGAATTGGTCGAACGGGGCAACAGACGGCAGACTTCTCACTTCCATCATGGCCACCGTGAGCGTGATCAAACAACATCACCATCGCCCACAAGCCCGACGATGCGTGTTGATTCAGAGAAATGGGCCAAGAGGTTGGTGCCGGACACAATGCATTTGTGGGGGTCCGATTCTTGCAAGCTGCAACCCGCAGTCCGGTACCGCAACTGCAACCGCAGCGTCGCTCCATTTGCTCTCCCATTCTAACAACATTCCTCTGGTCTCTCGATGACGAGCACGACAAGTCAACCCCATCAAAATGTTGGCCAGCGGCTCCTTTGCACGTCCTTGTGTAGCAGGTGCCTTCGCCCGCACTGTAAGCCAGGGGCTGGACCGGACAACGGCCACCTTGGAGAATGGCGTGGACATTGGACACGCACAACAGCTTGTAGTCGGGAAGGTGGAAGGGGTAACGACGCACGACGCCTTTGCCATGATCTGCAAGCAAATCTAGTACAGTTCATGACCTCTCGATGTCCCACTGGACGGACGCTCCGGCAAATACAATCACGGTGTTTATGCCGAGTTGTCCACAGCAGCCATTCATGAGCCTGCCCAGGAGCAAAGTTCGGGAGAAGAGAAGTACATGCAAGAGAAAGAGATTAAAAAAATCCGACTTGTAAACCACAATTGGCCAACTGTACGCGCCTCATCCCGTCGGTTTCGCACACAACATCCTGTCGATCATTCCAGTCCGATGGGATTGCGTTTGAGAGGCAGAATCCAAGGAGAAAGGTGTGACACAAAGGTAAGAAGACGGTTTCGCAATAGCAACGGTTTCTACGCATGAGAGCTCTACACTTGATTTAGGAAGTCTGGCAGATCGAGTCTCTTGTAAGTCTACGTTTACCCGGTTCATCCGCGTGAATTCGTGAGGCCGAATATCACCCACACCTCCGTCCTGCCGTTGACTGGAAAAGGTCGTACAATAGCCTTGCAACGTTGCATGAGAGCGCTTCTCTGGCGAGCCTCACTCATGGTGTCTAATCCGTATCCCGAGTCTTGGCCCATCCTCTGAGGAGACAACGTACACACACATGGCAGAGATGTTTAAAGGAAGGCCGGTCAGACCAGACAAGCGCAGAGAGGAAGACCAAATTGATCTTCTTTATTCCCCTGGACCGACGGATTGGATTGCTTTCGAGATTTCACCCCACCCAGGAGATTACTGGCGTGTGAAGATGGGCGATTCCAGCACCACGCCGCTCTACCCCCCACCATTGGCCGAATGATGCCGGGCCAAGTTTACTGAGGCAAGTACTCGGTACCCGACGGGAAATCAGAGACCCAACGAACAGCTCAACAACGAACGCACGGGCAGAACGAAGAACAGCGAGATCAAAGAGCAGGGCAAACACCGCTTGCCAGCGGCCTTGGAAGAGAAAATCATCGGGTTCGGGGTGCTCTGGACGTAGAGTCTACCTACTTCTCGGCCCTACTTTTCGGCCGGCGTGATCAACGTGCGAAGTTGGTCTTGCTTGCTTAATAGAACTGTATATGGCAAGATAGGATACTCGATACTTGTTGTATGGGGGGCAGGAGGGGATTAAGTACGGGGGCCTACACTTCGCCGTACTCCCCAGAGGTCCTTCTTCTATACGGTGGAGTACCGAGTCCCCGGCTCGCCAGTACACGGCCGCACAATCCACCCAGCGTCGCATTCTCAGCTCCCCTTCCACTCTTCCTCTCCTCACTTCGCTTCCTCTTCGCACTATTTTGGCCCGTGTGTGCTAGTTTCGTTTCAGTCCTCGGCCACCATGAGTTCTATACGAGTTTCTTTGTGAGTTCCTCCTCGCACACACTTGCCACTCTCAAAGTAGCGGTCAGCGACTGGCAATTGCCCCCCCGGTTCCTAGACCTCCCCTCCTTGTTGGCCAAGGGGCGCTAAGTGTCTCCGCGACAACGCGGTCTGCGACGATCATAGGCCATTCACTGCCAGTGATGACTTTGCTCGATTTCCATTGGCTTTGCCGCCTTGGTGGCTCTTCCAAGTCAATCTTCGGATGCAAGGTTCCAAAAGTTCGGATGTGTAGTACAAATGCTCTCAACTTCGGATGTACTGTAATGTTCTGGAGTCTGGACGGCTGCCACCGCCACCGACGACGGTAAACTCCACACTCTGTCCTCCGACCTTTGGCCTACTTGGAGACAATCCGGTCGGTACTGCTCTCGTCTCGACAGCTGAGCCAGCGATACGTGCTTTCCCTTCCATTTGGTTATGTTCTGTGCGTTTGCCGGCGTCGAATTCCGTGGATGACGGCCACGGCACAAGGCTGTCGACGATATCAGTTGCCGGTCTCGCCGTCACAAAGCGACACGCGGCTCGGTAAATTGAACCCTGTTTGCCTCGTGTAGCCTCAGCTCTCGCAAACTCTGTCCACATGCCTGCCGTTCACCTCACCATGTGCCAGCAGATCCTTTCCATTCCAGAGCTCCCATCGAGGTCGATGAATCTTCCGACCACAGATCATCCTTGCCCATGACTTTACCTACAAGTGAGGCGCTTTGACTCTCGCCTTTAATTCCAAGTTTTAGCCCCATCAGGGCCAACCCCCTTGCGACTGCCACTGTGACTGTTTAACATCTCGGATTCAGAGACCCACCCATATCCATCCATCCATCCATCCATCCATCCATCCATCCATCCATCCATCCATCACCATTGCCATTGCAAGAGCATCCAGGATGCAACGTGGTTGATCGAGTACAGGCCATTTCGAACGTGTCACATACGCTAAGAAGCACCGAGGGCACTTGGGAAGAAAACGGCAAGGATAGTCATTGCCACGGGCTCTATGAGAAGGGGGAAAGGGGGATTCCTTGTTATGGTATACAGCTTGTGGCTTGCAGCTTGTCTTTGTCATCTCCATTGGCGTTGCAGCTCTGTGACGAGAAGGCGCCCTTGCTCGACAAGTGGTGACGTTCCGACTACGCTGCCCATGCAACGAACAGTTTCCTGGCCCAAAAAGAATCTGGGCAGAAGGGAGTGAGTTATACGAGAACGAGAGGAGAGCGAGAAGGGGGGAGGGTTGGGACCAGCGTCATTGATCGCCAGGGACAAAAGCGGTCAAAGAGAGGTAGGCCAAAGATGCTGATTCACTGACTTGGCTTGGTCGTTGTTGGATATTTGTACGGAGTACATTTCTCCTCCCACTGTATCGGTCCCCTCCATCAACCACCGCCTGTCCGTCTTCCTGCCTGTCTGGCCACTGCTTCTTTCCAGTTTCAATCTTCCTACAACATCAAAGGGCGTGCCCGTGCTTCTTCCCCTGACTTCTCTTGAACTGCGTTGATAGTCTCCCGTGACAACAACCAACGGTGCGAGATCCCCCTCTCTCGCCCAAGATGGAATTTATCCGAACCCCCCAACTAATCTATCCAGGGCGCCATGGATGGCAACCGCCTGAGCCGTTGCATCCTCTACATCATGTTGAGCTGGATCTTCTGTGACGAATGTACCTTTGAACTGTGCCACCGGGCGACATTCAGGGCCTTGCCCACGACCGCGGTCGAGGCGGAGCAGATCCAAAGGTTCCTGAATGAGCGCTTCGCCGGCCGAGCCGTTAGCTGGACTCAGGTCTGTCAGCAGATGGATCATCTTCGCGAGCTGGTTACGAGTCGTCAGAATGTGCAGAGCCATACCCACCCATGGACCCGACATTTCAATTGGCTGATGAATGCGGCCATTCTCTACGTCGGCGCGGTCGCACAACCCGTCACGAGGGCGTTTTTGGAGCCCCGTGCCCTCCCAGTGAATGCAATGCTCCGATTCCTGTCTCGACGGTTCCATGTCCAGCTCACCGTCCAGGACCTCGAGCACCATATCACCCGATGGGTAATTGTGCTCTGTGGCTCTGCTGGAGAGGTGCAAGAGAACCTTCCTCCCACCGCGGCCAGGGTGGGGCAGACCATGGCCAAGTATCTGGCGGTACCCTTGTCTCCCTTGGCACCGAATATCTCAACGCAACTGTGTGACCAGTACAGGCAGTTCCACGAAGAGGTGGTGCAGTGGTATCCGCCTCGCGTGTGGGGGAACCGCATCACTCCTATGTCTCCATACGAGGCCAGCACCGATATCCCTCCCAACCTCGACGTCTACACACAGGACCACACACCCGCTGGGCTCATTGTGAGACAGTTTGTACCTGAAGAACACAAGCAACATGACATGCCGGTCGTCGTCTGGTTCGCTGGAGGAGGATGGATGCTCGGAGACATCGAGGGAGATAACAATGTCCTCAGTCATATTTCAGCTAGTGAGTCTTTGTCCCCCTACTCTAAGCTGGGTCGCTGCATAGACACTCGTTCAGGGGGCTAACTTCTCTATCGATTGTGGATGTCGAGTATTCAGCGGTGAATACCGGCGCAAACCGTTTCCCACGCCGCACAATGACGCCTTGGAGATAGCGAACTGGGTTCGGCACGAAGTGGGAGAAAGGGATGTGATTCTTGCCGGCGTGTCATCGTGAGCCATTTTGACCTCCATGTGACGTGTCGACTTCTGCTGATTTTCCATTGCAGGGGCGGGAACTTGGCCGCGGCGACCGCATTGCAATGGGCTGCGGCAAAAAGGCCTCCGGCGGGGTTGCTCCTCGTCGCTCCCAGCTTGGACAACTCGACGGATTGCGAGCAAAGATGGCAGCGAAACTGGGACGCCCCCTGGCTGACTCCCGAGACCATGCGCTTCTTCCAGGACCGCTGTTTCCAGGGACCCGGAGAAAGGTCGACGGCCAATTGGAGGGCCAGCCCGATCTACGCCAGCCAGCAGATGATAGACGCTGCGCGCGCCTTCCCCACAAAGGTCGTCGCCATGGGCGGAGACATCTTGTTTCAAGAAAGCGTAGATTTCGTGGCCCGCCTGCGGTTGGCGGGCTGTGACACCGCGCTCAGCGTCTTCCCGTACGGCCACACGGGCCTACTGATGCAGGGCATCGTGGGGACCGCCTTGATCGAAGAGATGATCTACTGGATCAAACAGCGAGCCAGGCGTTCTCCCATGGACGAAGCTGCGTGAAACGAATCGCAAATCAATTGGGTCAAAGCGATTGTGTGGCCCTGGGAGGCGTGGACAGGAGAAGCAGAAGTAGAAGCCGAAGCAGTCATCACAGAATAGCTCGCCCCACAGATGACGGGGTCAATGTCGGTTCAAAGGGTGGACTAGGTCCTGTTGGCAGATCACAAGTAGTCGTTCTGTGACAAACATGTGTCCTGTATCCAATCGAGGGCGATGGTTGGTGGGCCGTTGGCGAGGCTGTCGACAAGGCATTGAATCTTGATACTTTGCGGCCCGTGACTCAAAAGGTCCAGTTTCGTATTAACCTCAATGTTTGCCAGTTGCGTTCCATCAGGCTGTAAGGGAGGAAGCATGAAGACTGACGCTCTGCACTGCCCCACTACCCCATTGCGTGGAAATGTACTCGTCACAGTTGCTACTGCACCTTTTTGTCAAGGGCATGGGCTTACTTGGGTGCTTGGGTGCCTAGTGAAGGACCTTTTCATGGCCGGCTTTGGGGGGGGGGGGGGGGGGGGGGTTACCGAGCTTCGCGGGATGGGAGGGAGGCAAGGGTTTGGGGTAGGTAGGTAGGTAGGTAGGTTACTCGGTAATAAAGAGGGACCTAGGTAGTCCGTCAAATAGCAATGGTAATGGCAATGCCGCAAGGGCAATGGCACTACGTGAATATAAACATGAATTGACATATTAGATATAAGTCTGTCTAGAGGTTTACATTATTCCCCCCAGGATCTATACATATGCTTGACTTTTTTTTCCCCCCAAAAAGTTGTGGAACTCTATTCTAATCCGTTAGCTCCTGGTGGTTTTCCCCCTCCCCTTCGTCGACATTATTCATTTGTCCGCCCTTCCGTTCTATCATCACATCATCAACCTGTCATCGTTGTTCCTGGTGTGAAATGAACGACAGGAGAGGGAAAGAAAGAAAGGGGGAATGGGAAGGCATAAATTGAAAAGCTCGAAAATGGGTGCCCGAATGACAGCCTCGTTGAGAGGAGCTGTTGCGGCCAGCCGATGGTGAGGTAGTCGGCGTTAGCGTCGGTATCTGTGTCTGTGTCGTCTGTGTCGATTGTTTTTTATTTGTGTATCTCTGTGTGTCGTCAATGTCGTGAGTCGGAACATTCATCCAATGGACTTGAGGAAGAAGAGGAGGAGAAGAGGATAGCTAGCTAGCTAGCTAGCTACTCTAGTCGGCATCCCCCCAATCGTTTCTGGTTTCTGGTTTTTGTTTTTCTGTTTTGCGTCGACGCATCATCTCATCTGCGTTCTTCGAGATATTTGGCCCAGTCGATGCTGTCCGAGTCGTCGCCTAGTGATTCTAGCATGATACGCCTGAAGAGTCAATACATCGTGTTCCACTCCCGTCTAATCGTACCGGACCTTGCTCTTGGGCTTCTTGATTCGGTAGACATACCATTTGGCCCGGATCCACCGGTAGAGATTGAAGGACGGCACCTGGATGATCTCGGCCCGCTTGGGCTGCTGGACGACAAATCGGCGGAGCAGGAACTCAAACGGCGTCTGCACGCCGCAGCCATATTTGGGAGAGAAGTGAAAGTATCCCGCGCCCATGCACTTGGCGAGATCGAGGCCGTCGTCGTACGCCACCGTCTGCCCGTGGTAGTCGGTCATGATGCCGACCAAGGCAATGAGACGCCTGCGGCTGTTGTGGTACGGAATGACCGAGTGGAAGGTCATGGTCGAGGAAGTACTGAAGACGAAGATCATGGCGTCGAACTCTGGGAAGTCGCCGGGGTCCTTGGTCGTTTCGATGATGTCGAGTTCGATCAGTTCGGAATCGACGTCAACCATTTTGGCGTAATGCACCATGTGTTTGTGCTCTTCGTGATATCTCCCGAAGAAGTACTGGCAGTGTCATCGGAGCATGTCAGTCATTGCGAAAACTGCCCTCCCTCCCCATCTGACAACCCACCAAATAGCGACTTACCTGATGGATGAGTGTCGTTTTGCCTGATCCTGGGGCGCCAAACACGCCGACGGTGAACTTCTTTCCTCGTGCCGCCATTCTTCTTGTTGCTTCTCGTGGTGAGGGTAATGGACAGTGAGGGCACTGGGGGAGACAGGTCCGGGACAGATGATTGAATACTATCAAAGTCGGAGAGAGAAGGAGAGCGAGGGATGGGCGATCTGCTCTCTAAGTAACAGAGGCCACACCCCGCTAAGTGACATGTGTTGTCCGATGCTCATCCCACCTTCAGGTCAACAAAGGTGTGCATGGTGCGCCACGATTGGATAAATGTCGGTGTAAGGTTCAAGGTAGGGGAATAGAGGTGGGTGTCTATACAAAAGCATCCAGATTGGGAAGATATCTTTCACAGCTTTACGCACCCGAAAGCCTCACCCAGCCTCTCCGACACGCGACATGCCCGGCACACGACGCAGGCACAAGAGAGGCCGAGAAACCCTTGGGCAGATCGTAGTTCATCTCCTCCAGCGAGGTGGATCAACAACCCGAAATCGGTGGAGTCGACCTTTTGTCTTCGCGTCGAGTGTATCTTGGGTGTTTGCGCGATTGAAACATGGGGTTCAGGGTTCAGAGGGGGCTCAAACAAGAGGGAATGGAGGAAATTGGGTCTGAGAAGCTTTCCCGATGGGATCCCATCCATGCCCAAGCCACGTCCAAGCATGTCCAAGCCATGTCCCAGGGCTCGGATGAGGCAGCCGAATAGGTGGATACAAGTAGATGTCCGTGGCCTACCTAGCGGAATGGGTCCAATCTTATGCAGCCATTCCAGGTTTTTTTCCTGCGCGTCTTGAGCAAGATACGGGGGGATTCTTGGGGCGCGTCCTCGTTTTCCAAGAGCAGGCAGCAGCAGGGGAATTCCAGCGAGGGCCCTGACGTTTAACAGGTGAGGTGCGAAGACACAGGAGCAGCCTCTTTCCAGCATTCGCGTCGAGGTTTGACAGCAGAAGCTGCATTGCTAGTCACACAGTACCCAGATTGACAAGGAAGAGAGTTTTGGTCCGCGTCAGCCTTACCATGTCTCTACCAGTTCAGCGCCATTCCATCGCCGTCTCTGCACATTAGCAGAGGCGCATCACACCACACAGACTGGAGTACCTACTTGGTAGTCCTCAGCGTCGGAGAAGAGAGCTGTGGAAGGGAAGGGACGCGTCAAATGGCGGAAGGCTGGTCTGCAGGTAGTGGACTGACTACGAGTTCTCAGTTGGGGAGGGATGGATGGTGCAGAGGGTGACATGCATGAGCACTTCATCCTTTAGAGCCGCCACCAATGACACCCACCTGGCGCGTCCCAAGTCTGGCGAGGGTCTTCGGGGTCCTTTCGAGTTCCTTGATCGACAACTTGGCGCGAGACAACAAAGACATGACAACCAAGACAACCCAGCCTCCTACCCACTTCCCCGGTGTCCCAGAGTGACGTTAGGTACAGATTGCCCTCTCATAGCCAAAGGATGGGTGGCTATTTGAATTGGTGGAAAGTGGAAACAGACTACCGAGGAGCAAAGTACAGAGTGAGATGCAAATCCCCATCTGACCCACCAGAGCGAACGCCAATCACTTGACGTCTGCGGAGTCGGTAGAAGACCATCTGCACCATGGGCACCGTGAATGAACGCTGGAACTTTTGCAGCCCCGTTTCCCGTCGCTGGCTTCCACCATTGGCCTCCCTATATTGGCATTGACTTCTCAGATCCGCCACCTCTAGAAATCCGAGCTGAAGGCCCCCATCTTCCTTGTTCTTCCGACAGCAGACTCGGAGGATTCCAGTCCCAATGACCTATTTGAAGAAGCACAGTGCCAATCAATAACAACATCGGTCTTGCGATTGCGCATGATGAGATTGCGTGGGCAAAGGTTGGCGTGAGGGGATCAGGGTCGTATTGACGAGTATGACACCGCGTGACAGCTTCGCTGGAGACTCGTGTACAATTCTCCACTGGCACCTGTCCACGAAGAGAAGAATGGAATTCTTGGTGGCCGACAAAAGGGGCCAGCAAGATGGTCTCCCACCCGGACGTCGAGACGTTTTCCAAATTCGGTTGGGGCAACATGTTCTCCTTATAGCAGCTCGACTGCTCGAAGCTGATCAATATAACCGGCTACCTGTTTTGGCAAAGCCTTTCCTTCTCACTTTGAAGGTGACCTTCATTTAGAACGCGTCTTCTGTTCACCGCTAGGAATAGTGGTATTCTCTCATCCATCCCATACCAATAGTTGTAGCCGATACAGCGGCCCCTTCGTCTTTCTGGAGCGCTTTTCAGCTAAACTGGTTCCGACTTGTTTTCTGTGTCAAGGGATGTACTTACATTATTTCAGATTTGATTCGAGGCTTGGATAGGCTGCTGGTACGAGACTGCCGGATCTGCCGGGCATTTTCTTCTTCGTCGTTGTCGTCGTTGTTGCCGCTGTCATCGTCGTCATCGTCGTCCTCGTACCCCTTCCTTTGAAAGGAGGGTTTTCTGAAGCGAGAAAATTGGTTTCAAGCTTGCTAACTTGGAGGGCATGATTGCGGCAATTCATGCAACCCTCTAACGCAACAATTCACATAACATTTGCAAAAAAAAAAAAAAAAAAGACTGAGCCCTATACCGGCCTATAAGGTTCAATCGCTCGAAGGGGCGATAGCTTCGCCTTTGGCAGTTTTATCAGGCTATGAGTACACCTGCCACCGCAGAATAGGCAAGTGCACCCATGCCGCGGCCAAGTGCTTTGGCATTGATGCATCTGGAGGAAACAGCTTCTGTTTCATAAGTCAGCATCGGGATTGTCCCTGGAGGTGGTCAGCCTTGTAGTCAATGCGAATGCATGGTGTGCAACTCTCCCGAGCGCTCGGTCAGGTTTCGTCCGAAAAGACGAAGTCAAGAGCAAGCGAGTTGCAATGAGCGCCGTTCTCCAACCGTGTTCGAATCATAAGAGGATCGATTCCGAAGCGAAAATAGATGCCCGGTGTCGTGAGCGCCCTGATATGTCCTCACCTGACGACTGGTAGCAGAAGGGATTAACATCTTAGGCAGCCTCCTCTAGTTTCCGGCTAACTTGAACGATTCTCCGGAGCACCGCTGTCATATACTCAGAAGGGGAGCTGACATGCCGTTTCCAGTAATCCAGCGGCATTTTCATGATGCAACGACCCTTCTAGCTCAAGACCGGTCGACTCTGGTAGTAAATCTAGCCTGCGACGGTCTGGCCGGAACCACCAACCACGGAGAGCGGCCCTCATCACTGTCGAAGGCAGGGTGTGGTTAGAGAGTCTAGCACTTGCTAGGCTGGATCGGGGGCCAGTTTGCCATCTGCCCTGTACTGGTAATCAATCAACGAGCCACGTCCTTCGGCACCTGTCGGACTCGGACGGAACAACCTTGGGCCGTGGCAGCCGCATTCAGCTGCTATGGATGGCATACGTGTCAACAAACCAGCAGTGCTTGTACCTAGTCAGCAAAGGCCATCTGTGGAGCATGGTTGATATTCGGATGTGTCCTGACACGCTCCTGGGAAACTGGATAGATGAACCTCGCCCCATTGAGCTCCCAGAATCTTACAAAGCATGGGACCTAGTTCGGCGAGGACCAACATAGACATGCACGTTCTGTGACTTTTCCATTGATCTTCTGCGGGCAGATGAATATTCGGCTCGATGGGAGCAAGCAATTGGTTGAGAGACTCGAAATAATAGTAATAATAATCCAGATTGCTGTTCTTGAGTTGTTCCGAGGTCGTGGAACCCCAGAACAAGCATTGGTCGTCATTTTGAAATCGCGAAGTCTTCGCGGAGAGGCATTAATTTCGATAAAGTTCTGCAGGCAAGCTCTCGTGGCGCATTGTGTGCATTGAGGCTGGCAGCTTTAGGATCGTGCGGTTCAATGGCAGAGCAAATTCGTCGTCAACCTTGTTGAAGCGGAAACGCGGCTGCATTCAGGCGCAAGGAAAGAGACACGTATCGTCGCGCTCGCGTCCTCCTCGGAGCACCGACATGCAGATGCTGATGAGGTTGCTCGCCTGGTAACTACCTACATAGGTACTTCTTATACTCGTAGGGAGGTTCACTAGGCCTGGCCTAGGGCAGCTTTAGAGCAGCTACGGTTCCAGCACGAGAACAGCTGAACGCATGGCCCTCGTCACTTTTCCAATAGAGCACCACCGACTGAAGGGGCATCCTGAATTCCTAGGTGAAATCTTCAAACTCGTTGCGCAGCCATGGCCGGCTTGACCAACCAAAGACGTTACCGATCCATCCTCCCTTTGCTCTGAAGGAAACCCTATCGACACAATTTCAACGAGAGTCTATTGTACGTGGGCATATCAGACGGGCAAGGACGGGGCAACAGGATGGAATCAAAGCAGATGGCTAGCACATCCACAGAATGAATCGTCAAATGGAAATCCTCTCCTCTTTGATATGCCAGACAATCCATCATTTGGGACGGCCTCAACCATTTGGTGCCACCCTCAAATCTCGAATGCTTCAACAGCATCGCTCAAATCCTGTCTTCCGCTGTCAACAGGGACACTTTCGCAAGTTTCAACAGCAAAAAAGAATAATGAAACTTCTCTGGCGACGTCTTGTGATTCGGGTATGCTAGAGGCTTTTCTCAGGAACCCTAGATCGAACAACAGCCAAGAGCTCCCAGAACCGCATAGGCGCGTTCATGTTCAATACCCACCTTCGTTTCCGGGATGTGTAGAATCGGCTTTAGTCGCTTCTGCAGCGCGTGGAAAATCCTCCAGTCTCCTAGATTATGCGCAGTTTGAGAGCGTGTTTGATCAGGGTAACAACGCGGCAGAGATGTGCGAGTAGTGGTGATTAATGCGGCATCAATCTCTTATCATGACTTTCTGCACGAAGCTCGAGACAGATGCAGAATCAGCTGTAACTTGGAAATTTTGTGTCAGACTCGCCTCCTGTTCCTCCTCTTCTGCCGCTGCTCTTGTGGTTTGGCCAACTCCATTTGGCAGCTGTTTCTTCCCTTGTTGAGCGTCACGAAACTGTCCGTGCCGGCATCGTTCAATCACCACCGCATGACGCGGCGTCCCTAATGGCGGATATTTCTCTTATTCGTAGAGTTTCTCGACGGTCTCATCTTCCCCCACCTCATCATATGGTCTCTTCCCCGACATGATCTCAGAGATGAGGCACCCAGTTGCAAACAATTCTGTCTGTGTCGTGTGCGTGGAGTTGTCTGTATTATGGCATCTTCGATATCTTGTCTCTTCCGAAACCAGGGGCTCCTCATTAACGATCGGGGAACCCGCAAAATCACATAACAGGAGCGACCCCGTCGCCTACCACAAGGAAGTTTCAGGCGCCGATATCGCTGCGTCGAACGCCATGGACGTGGATGAAAGCTATGGATTCGACGCTGTTTATGCCCATCTTCTTTTTTCCCCGACGGGTATATTGTGGTGGTTCGCCTGGAGGTAGTTTCGGAGGTCACTGTATCGATAGAGGGGGGAATCGCAGTCCGGTTTCGAACGTCTCGAGACATTCTAGGATGAGATTGTTTTTGGGCAAAGGATTGTAGATAATCCTTTCGCGCTCGAGAAACTGGTCCGATTGTTCCACAAGCTCACAGCAGAGGTTGATGTCCTCGCCGCTGCACGCCTTTGCGTCCGTGCGGAGTTTACATACTAGGGACGCAGCTGTACTTTAGTGCCAGGAAAGGATAAAAGATCATAGGGAAACGCCCCATATTTCCGCTGCAAATAGATGCACAATTTAACGATCTTTGCCTTTGGCTGTACCTGAATTTAGAAAAGCTTGCAAGGTATGATTCGTATACGAGATATAGCCCGGTTTGAGTATGGAGAACGAGGTACTCGGTATAAAAAAAGTGTGATTCCCTATTACCTCGTACAGAGAGGGTCGTGGCCCCCAAGCCCATCCACGTCGGGCTAAGCCTCGACCACGCTCCTAAGTACTTGAGCACGTCGTGAAACACCATCCTCCTGTCAACTGCCTTGTAACACTGAAAGCCACGGGGTTGGTGGCACAGAATAATTAATGGCTGCGGTTCGAGAAGTCATGTTCCAGCAAATGACAGCAATGTGGCAAGGACTGGTTGCAATGGATCACTGTATTTCCCTCTCCCACACGTCTATTGGTGAGTTGTACCAACGCCCTTTTCCTCGAAGCAAGCCTCGTTTGTGTGATGTGCGATGCCTGCCATGTTCCTTGATTTGCTGGGTGCCACTCCGACTTGAGGGTTAGCCTTAGCTGGCCTAGCAACCGTACATAGGACCTAGCCCACCATGACCGAATTCAAGACGACCTGTGAGGCTTGCCCAGCCGCTCGGACACTCTTTGTCCTGGCTTCCGGTGGGTGGGTGACCTACGAGATAAAGGGGGTGCCAAGCCTAACAACGCTACCAGGCTTGTTGGCAGCGGACTCGGAAGCTTTCTACGGCTTGATGACTTGTGCCCCTCCTGTCAATGGCCACTTTACAATGGCTCCTCATGCCAACTGCCGTCTGAACTGTCGCATCGAAGGGTTCTCGATACATAACCTCCAGTGAGAAGCTGCTGTTCGACCCAAGCGAATAACAGGAAGAAACTCGAAGAAGAGACTCTTTCGAACAACGACCCTTCGGTCTTCTATCCCGCTCGCATTGGCAAAGTCCTCACATCCAAATATGGGGTTGTGGGTAAGCTGGGCTTTGGAGCCAAATCCACGGGTTGGCTAGCTCTCGACATACAGTCTGCATTAGGGTCCCTGATATCAATGCGATTGTAACTGATGAACTTGTCTTCCGAGGAAACAAACTTATGTCGGAATTCATTAGGTCGATGCCACGGTGGCATCCAAAGGACCGACTAACTGCTCATGTGCTCCTTGCTGATCCGTGACTGAACGATTATGAGACCTGAGAGGCTATGCTCTCTAGGCGCAGCTTTTGCAGGTACTCTCAGCCCAGTGTGCGCTCACACTGGCAATACCCGATTGCTCGACGACCCTCTGGTTTGCCAAAGGAGGGAATTGCCCAATAAACCTCGTCTGGAGGGAGATATAGCCAAGCTCGTCTAGTCTTCGCCTGGATCGGAGATGTCACCAGTGACACTGGCATGGGAACAAAGTTATTGCATGTATTTGGTGAATTGAAAGAGGAGGAATCTGGTGCAAGTAATCACCACTGGAAAACCGACTTCAGTCGACAGTTCTAGAAACTGGCGAAAGAGATATCTGTGGACGGTCCGGAGGATTTGTTTGAGTTCTGCAACACAACATGGCAGGCAGACATTTCCTCAGTTCAGCAGCCAGGATTCGGCAGGCTCTGGGTCGGTCAAGAGGCCGGCTTGCCCCGTGAGCTTGAATTCCGCTGTGGCAGATACACGATGTCTAGGGCCTCGTTCTTCAGCGCGGTCCGAACTATTTCTTCCTTTGTGGCATTTCCGCCTCGCCCTCTCTTGGCCGCATTTCACAACGCGCAAAAACTAGGCTCTCTCAAAATACAACTGTCTTCGGCACGATTTTACTCCTACCTTGATCTGGCGCACGGCTTGGCGAATGGGTCTGCTTAGACGACAGGGACAGGTATGGTTTTCCCATATACGCCATCATGGTTTACGCCAATCTACGATATGATGGTGGAGAAGCTGTACAAAGCCTTCGCAGGGGCATATATCTCGATTCTCCCCCACAGGATGTCTGGACATTCTGCATTTCGCCGGAGATCGCAGATTTTTAGTCCTTCCCGACGATAATGGTTTTCAAGTCCTTTGGTATTGTCACGCCCAACTAAGCTCTCCCTGAAGATGTGGGGAATTTCGCTTTTTCTCATCCGATTGCCAACATGCGCTGTCTAGCAGCAGAACAATCAAATACACGACTATCGGGTCCACTTTGGTCCGGGTATTTGCGGGAGGACTATTATCGAAATTGATTCCCCTTTACCCCCGACGGTGAGTGCTATCTAAGTTTTGGTCGTTGACACCCATATGGATCCAGTCCGCGGTATCTATGTGAACTTCACTTCACGCCTTCGCATACTAGAAGTTAGGGGTTTGTTCGTGCTTCCTCAAATGCCATCGAAGCCGCTCGGAGAAGGGAGTTGGTCAGTTGCCAACACAGTCAAGCAGGAGGAATGCAGGCAAGAGGGTTTGCGGACAGTTGCTCCATTCGCTCGCTTATAAACCCGTCAAGCCCGTCGCAATGCCAGAGAGTGTGATCTTTATGGTCCTTTCACTTGGCGAATGCATGTCTACAATCGGGTTCCTGTTTCTTACATCCCCCATCACAATCATTGGTCCTTAGTTTGGTATCTTGCATTTCATGTGCGTTTCCGTTTCACTGGGTTCTTACATGGAATTGTTATTGGAGACACGTTGCACAGACGGTCAACTGCGGCGGGCAGGGCGCGCCAACATCCTTTGCATCTCCAACGTCTTCTCCACCATCGAAGTGGCCACCTCAATCGACGCATGATGGCCAGGTTAGCAACAATGCCAGGTGCGTGTTTTGGCCAAAATATTAATCTAGCACGGAGGTGCTCTACAGACCGCTTTCTCGCTCCACTCCATCCGACTTCTCGTCCGGGATTTCAGCATGGGTGTTTTTGAGTCTGTCTGGCTCGAGACGAAATCGTCCTTCTTCCTCCCGCTCGCCTGCTCGGTTTTATGGATATGCTACAATGTAGGCCTGGTCCTCTATCGCTTATATCTCAGCCCCATCTCTCACTTCCCGGGCCCGAAAATCGCGGCTGTAACTTACTGGTAAGCTACCTGTCTATCCCACCGAGACCACCGCCACGGGAGTTCTGTCGTGACATCCCTCCCAGGTACGAGTTTTATTACGACGTCGTGCTCGGCGGTCAGTACACCTTCCGCATTCTTGAACTGCACAAGCAATATGGCCCTGTTGTCCGCATCAACCCGCGAGAATTGCACTTCTACCCTCCTCAGTTCTACGAAGAGATTTACGCAGGCCCCACACGCCGACGAGATCGTTGGGAACGCTACACCCAGGGCTTCGGCATGCCTGGGGCCGGCGCGAGCACGAATCCTCATGACTTGCACAAAGCAAGACGAGCAGCCTTGAGCCCCTACTTCAGCATGCAGAGTGGGTTGCTCCCTCAAGGTCAAGCCCCATCGACATGAATACAGCCTGACTGAGATCTGCAGGCGTCCGGAATCTCCAAAGCGTCATTGAGGAGAAGACGGATCTGTTGATGCGGAGATTCAGAGAATTTGGTGACTTTAGAAAGGAAGCTGCAAGGAAGCCTCTCAACCTCGAGGTTGCATTCGCGGCATATGCATACGGTAAATGTCCCCCGGGCTTGGTTTCGCCTGCTCTCTGCTCGCATTGAGGAGCGGGACTGATCCTGCTCAGATGTCATCACCGAGTACGCCTTCGCTCGAAGCGAACATCACCTTGAAGCCGAAGATTTTGATCCTTGGATGCTGAAAGCGGCCTCTTCCACGAGCTCGCTGGGCCAGATTGCAAAGCAAATGTACTGGGTCTTTTGGCTGGTCTTGAACATTCCGGACTGGCTGACTCGAAGGCTCGACGCGAACGGTGAGTTTGACTTTCTCCTGATTGAAGAATCAACGCCCTTTGGTAGACTAATGTTGCTTTGGCTGACTAAATACAGCGAGCCGGTATCTCCAGTTCAAACGGGTAAGTGGGTGGAACGCATTTTTTGTTTTCCGTTTTTCTTATCCACGCTCTCGTCTCGTTCTTCTGGGGACACGTCGATTGATTCACTAACCAAAATTTTGTTGGTTTCCGCCTCGGCAGGACATCAACAACCAAATCGAAAACATCCGCAATGGAATTGACACATCCCACAAGACGGCCTCACACCCCACAATCTTCCACGAGATACTCAGCAGCTCTCTACCACCGGCTGAAAAGCGTACTTCCCGCCTTGCGGACGAAGGAGCCACAGTCGTGAGCGCAGGAGCCGTGACCACGGGGTGGACTCTGCCGGTGACGGTGTTCTACCTGCTCTCCAACCCGGCCATCCTGCGGAAGCTGAAGCACGAGCTCTCCGAGGCGATACCCGATCCGACAAAGCCCACTCCCTTGCCTGAGCTTGAACGTCTCCCGTACCTCACGGGCGTCATCCAGGAGGGCCTGCGACTGAGTTATGGGATCTGCACGCGGCTCGAGCGGATCGCGCGGGACGAGGCCCTGGTCTTCGACGACGGCGAGAGAACCTGGACCATTCCGCCCGGCACGCCGTGCTCTATGACCAGCTACATGATCCACAGAAATCCAGACGTCTTCCCTTCCCCCCACGAATATCGGCCTGAGCGGTGGATCGAGAACCCCAGACTGGACAAGTACCTCGTCAGCTTCTCCAAGGGCAAAATGCAGTGTCTGGGCATCAACCTTGCCTACGCGGAGCTTTACCTCATGCTGGCAAAGCTGTTTCGCGTCTACGGGAGCAAGGAGGTCAGGTTTGACGGCGATATGGGGAAGCTGGAGCTCTTCGAGACCACCTTCGAGAGGGATGTGGATATGCGCGAGGACAGGTTCATTCCCTTGCCGAGCAGAGAGACCAAGGGCGTTAGAGTGTTGGTTGAGCTCTACTGAGGGCCCCTGTGCGAGAGGGCCCTCCAATCTGATTTCTGAGTTTTAGACGCAGCGGTGGCATCCGGAGTGCGTAATGGAATCCATCAAAAAGACATTTTGCTTCACCATCTCCTTTCTCAAGCCGGCTCTCTACCTTTTGAGGTGGTGGTCTCCACCGCCTCCGTCCTCCGGTCCTTGTTCACTCCCGCTTCATATATCTTGCCGTCCCAGTCCTACTACCGGGTCGGCTATTCGCAATGCTCGCCTAGGATATCATGATGGGGATGTTGATCACGGCGGCAGCAAATTGAGCCTGCCTGATCCCCCCTTGGCCCCAAGGAGGACGAGGGGTTCTGAGCCCGTCGATCAGGACGACGACAATCATCACAGCAGGTAAAGTTAACATGTCGCAACACCGTTCCCGCCTCTGCCATTCCGAGCCGCCAGAGCCTGGAGAATGGGTATCGGACTCGACAATCTCTTGACAGTGCCCTCTGGCAAAGGATCATCCGTTCATCTGTTCTCCAACATGGGAACAGGAATGGATCCCGCTTCATCGGGCACGCAGGGTGGTGGTGAACGGATGGAAAACCATTCGATTCCGCTCGGTTCCTAGACGATTCATGTCACGCATTGATATCCGTAGAAGCTGTCGAGGCCGCTCTCATGTAAAAAACACCGCGTATTCGCTCCCTCAAACTATTTCGTCTCGGCAATATAATCTCTGCTGCTGCCTTCTCCTGTGGGACGCGAGGGTCAACCTTCAACTCAAGAAAGTGATATCAAGTCAAAGCTACAGAGGCAAAGAGTCGGCTGATATCAACCTCGATATCTTCGTCCGATTCCACCTGCATGCAAAGCGTGGCAACCGGCGTAGGAAGATAACACGCAGAAAGAAGGAATGATCTCAAGGTTGGGTGGCTTTCCAAATCTGCAGAGCGAACTCGCTTGAACGAGCCTAGGGGAAGGATACTTATGGGCGGATGGGCGGACAGAGGGCCCTCGGCTCCTTGAGTGGAAAGGACCATAGTCCTTTTGAAAGGCCGAAAAGAGAAAGAGCACTCGGCTCCAGGAAAAGGACATGTTTACAAAAGATGGTTCGACCATTGGACTGGAAATCCGCCTCGAAAGGTAAAGGATCGCTGGTGATCATGGGCCAAGCGGTGCCCAAGCTCAAAGAGACTGAGCTTGCTGCTAAATTGGCACACTTGGTTACCTTGGCATCTGGACATGGTCTGAAGTCAAAGAGAACAAAGTCTGGCGGGTGTTCGCCTTGCGCTGGCGGTTTTGCCGGAGCGAACCTTTTGAACACGAGATGGCAACATCTTCTACCAAGTAGTTAAACGTTCAAAAGGGAGACGTCGCTGTAGAGCTGAGCAAAGGTTTTGCCAAGCTTTGCGTGGATCAAACAAGGCTGGATGGGGGCGAGGGGGGGAGGCCATCGGTGGCGACCTGGACGCATCGAGACCCGAGACTGCGACGGACAGATCAGAGGCAACCAGGCGGACACATGGCTTTTAAAGAGAGAGACAGAGGCAAGAGAATGGTGCATCGTATCTGATTCAGAAAGCGTCGTTTCACGCGACGGTCTCTATCCTACTGCCCCAACAGAATAGACCGATTTCGTAAGGCTGCATCAGTCTCTGGATCCATGAGTCCATGGCCTTGACTGGGAAAGTATGCTCCTAGTCAGGATTTGGCCTCAGGGCCCTCCATTTGACGTTCCAAAATCCATGGCTCATCCTTCTATGCATTCTAACCAGACATAAAGCCGTCCTTCAAACCAAAATCTCCAGCAATCCCCTAGACCTCCTGGATATAATTGGCGGGAACACTTCTTGTCTCGCCATTCTTCTCGACATCGGCCCAGCCATCTCCGGTGCCCATACTGATCAAGATGAATCTCTCCCCTTCGGCCATGTCGAACTCAGCATCACTCTGGGCTGTGTAGGGGTAGAGGGCTTCGACATATTTCACTTTCTTCGCTCCTCGTTTGGGCGCCACTGCTGGGCCTTGCTTTTTCTTGCCCGCGCCAGCCAGGGTGGAAGAGGCCAGTGAGGCACTCGAATTGGAGTATAGTGATGGTGGGCGCTCTTGCGCGGGGGTGCTAGCAGCAGTGGGCAATTCCTCTAGGTAAGCTGTGGGCACTAGGCCTTCCTTGCCGAAGCCAGCGTGGACTTTGGTCCAGCCGCCGTCTGCTGCTTGTTCAGTATGATGAGTACAACTTTGTGGAGCTCACGTACCGTCAGGTTCCAGTATCTTCACCTCCGTTCCCTCAGAAAGAGATATTTCTCCCTCGTCTCTTGCTTCATAGGGATAGAGCATCTTACCCCTGAGCTGGCTACTCCCGTTGGCAGCCAAGTCAACGCCAGGTGCACTGACGTACGCTGCTGGAGGTGGTGCGACAATCCTGTTCCGTCTCGGGGCGGCAATTGTCGCTGATCCGGAGTTGGAAGTAATAGTTGTTAATGGGGAGGTCGTGACTGAATCATCCATTGCCGAAAGCCTTGGAACACCGCCAGACAATGACCTCGTGGCACTGGCCGCATAGCCAGACGACAGACTGCTCATTGTATCTTGCCTCACCAAGGGAGGAGGAGAGGTAGCGCCGTTTGAGGCAGGTGGAGGGGCCTCCACGGCCATCAGGGCTGCCGCTTGTCGTTCCGCCTTCAATTTCTTTTTCTCTTCTCTGGTCTGCTCTCCGGGACAATCCGCAGGCACTTTCATATGACACTTGCTGTGACACGTAAAGCCGCAATCAGTACATATAAACCCTTTGGCACTCAGACCCCAGATTCGATCGCCACAGAGATCACAATTGGTGGGGATCTTGAACGTCTCGGATTTGAAGGTGTGGCTCTTGCCATACATGCTAAGATCGCCCACGACTGAGGTGATTGTCGACGTCTCCACTTCCGCCGTCAGCCGCTTCCGCTCGACGGTGTGCAACTCTTCCTGCAGGGCAAATTGCAATCGCACCGATTCGACTTCGTCGCGCTTGTCTTTGCCCTCTCGCCGGGCCAGCTTGACATTTTCCAGCTCTCTTTTTTTCTGAGCCGACTCCGCCTTGAGTTGATTGATGAGCGGCTTGCTCTTCTGCAGAATATTCCGAAGGAATACTTTGGACGCGTCATCGGTCATCATATTGTCTGAATCCAACCACACCGGAGACGGTTCAAAGACAATGTCAGAAGGTTCCTGCCACTGTACAGCATTATGCCGTACAAACATATTACTATCGAGACTTGGGTTGTTTCGTGGAATCTCGTTCGAAAGACGAGTCATGAGATCAGTGCTCCGCTTGAGAGTATTGGTCTCGAGTGCCGCGGCGACCAGCCATATCGAATTCAGTTTCGAGACACGGGTTTCGTTCAAATCCTGCAAGGAATCGAGTAATTCTGGCACGTAGTCGTGGTAATAGCATTCCTTCATCTTATTCGCGACATTGATGCCAATCAGATATGTGTTCTTCACATTGTTCATTTCCATCAACTGTTGGTTGTACGTGCTTTGAGCCTTGCTCTTGTCCATGGACGATTCGGCCTTCTTTCTTCGATTCTCGACCTCTTGACAGACAGCATCATATCTTTGTTTCAATTTCTTCAGATCGCCGTAAGATGAATCCCTCTCTTTGACAAGTTTGGCGTTATATTCGGCGTGGCTTTTTCTCAGCTCCTCAAGTTTCGAGGCGCTGTACTCTAGTGGCGTCGCAACTTGACTTAGGAGATCTTTGGAGAATTTGGCGTGTTCGTTTGCTCGCGCCTCGAGCGTGGATAAGTGGGTGGTCCATGTTGTGAGAGAGGCGGACTCTAAAGAACCCGGGGTCAAGGCAGGATTGTCGCCGACGCTGAGGTTGCTGGACTTTCTTGATTTCTTGTCGTAGTATTTCTTTGCCAGAGTGGTCAACTTCTGGCTGTATTCCTTTTCTATAGCGGCCCGTTCCTGGTAGAATTCCTGGATCTCGGTGAGCCACGTAATGCCCAGGTTTACCCAGTTGTCGACCGGCTTGTAACCGTCCTAAGTCAATATCAGCGTCTGTCCATCTAAAAAGTGCACAATAGGACAAACCTTGAGCTCAGCACCAAATTTGACTGCTGCAACCTGAGCCATTGTGATCGCAGAAGGCCAGAAAATTCGAACGGCAACAGCATCATTCCATACTGCCGGAGGTCATCAATCAAGAGCAGATGAGGATGGTTCGTAGTTCTCCGATTTCTTTCGATATTAGTGCAGACTGCGGCGCAGCCGGGGAAGAATGCGTACTCGTCTGATGGACACCTCAGGCCCAACGATTGGCGAGGGACAGTTCGATCAATCATCGACAGCCTGAGGCATGGTCGTTTGGGGTGACATTGAGCCTCTGTGGCAAAGGGTGTTTCCCCCCAAAGTTTCTGGCTCCAGGTACAAAGCACCCCGAACACGCAGGGGCTAGCCAAGTGAAGCAGGCTCGCAGGCTAACAGGCACCGACCCCGCACCGGCCACCCACATGCGCCACAAAGCCCATCAAGACACGCCACACTTTTAGTGGGATCTGGCTCGCTGGTCCCTTGGTCGCCAAATTTCCATTTCATCACCGCAGCCTGAATTGAAGATTCACGCCATCTTGCCATCTTGCCATCTTACCATCTGCCTTCACACTCTTTATCTAGGTTGGTAGTAATCCGCAGAATCCAGATAAAGGCAACGGCCTTTCTGGTTTTGTATTTTTTAGCCAGCGACTGAGTCTTTGTTCACTTCAATCTCACTTCACCTTCGACCCCTCTCCAGTTCACCGATCCACCGCTAGAGCAATTGTTGACACCGCGAGCGACTCACATCAGTCGACGAGAGCCTTCATCCTCCCCCCGCCGTCATGACTGAAACACCATCAGGAAGCGGCTCTCTAGAAGACCGCATTTCCAAACCCGAGTCCACCTCATGGGCCGATGAAGTAGCCTCTCCCGCAACCGAGAATCCACCACCGACTGCAAATATGGGTGCGAAAGAGTCGGAGTCAGTACCAGAGGATAGCGGGCAGATCGATGGAGCTACAGAGCCTTTTGGAGGATCAAATCTAGAAGAGCCCGACTTCGAAGTGGAGGTCAAATTGGCGGACATGCAAGCAGACCCCAACAACCCCCTCTACTCGGCCACTTCGTTCGAGCAACTGGGGCTGTAAGTTCGCCCTCTTTCAGATGCCACTTTTGCTCTGCTGACCACAATAGCAACGAAAACATCCTCAAAGGCGTTGTGAGCATGAACTTCCGAAAACCGTCAAAGGTCCAAGAGAAGACCCTTCCTCTCCTCCTGATGAACCCTCCTCAGAACCTGATCGGCCAATCTCAGTCTGGAACCGGCAAGACCGCTGCTTTCGTACTGAACATCCTACATCGTCTCGACCTTAGCAGCGAACAAATGCAAAAGACTCCGCAGGCATTGGTTCTGGCTCCCAGCAGAGAGCTTGCTCGTCAGATTGTTGGTGTTGTGAAAGTGATGGGAGCTTTCATACCTGGTCTGACCGTGGCCGCTGCGATCCCTCAAGACGCTGCAAGTCGCTCACGAAAGATTGAAGCCTCAGTGGTTGTTGGAACTCCTGGGACGGTCATGGACATGATTCGCAAGCGATCCATGGATGTCAGAGCAGTCAAGGTGTTGGTGCTCGATGAGGCCGATAACATGCTCGACCAACAAGGTCTCGGCGATCAGTGCATACGTGTCAAGTCGTGAGTGGCGTTGCTTTTCAGCGTTTGCGTGCCTTTCCACTGACAAGCTTTTAGGATGCTGCCCAAAAACATTCAAATCGTTTTGTTCTCCGCCACTTTCCCAGACAACGTCGTCCTCTATGCCGAAACTTTTGCCCCGGGTGCAAACCAGTTGACCCTTCAGCACAAGGACTTGACGGTCGAAGGCATCAAACAGATCTACCTGGACTGTGACAGCGATGAAGCCAAGTACGAAGTCTTGGTCAAATTCTATGGGTTGATGACAATTGGCTCGTCCATTATCTTTGTTAAGGTAAGTCGATGCGCTCAGTGCAGCATGTTTCAGCCAGCTAATTGTAGAATCCAGACTCGAGAAACTGCACACAACATTGAACGGCGAATGACCGCTGAAGGCCACAAAGTGGTGTCCTTAACAGGAGGCATCGAAGGAGCGCAGCGCGATGTCATCATTGACGCTTTCCGCATGGGCCATGCCAAAGTTCTCATCACGACCAACGTCCTCGCTCGTGGTATCGACGTCCAGTCAGTGTCCATGGTTGTTAACTACGATGTTCCGGACAGATTTGTCGGCGGTGGTCGATATGTTGCGGATCCTCAAACTTATCTTCATCGCATCGGACGCACTGGTCGATTTGGGCGTGTGGGTGTGGCAGTGACCTTCGTCAGCAGCCGTGAAGACTGGCAGAAGTTGATGGAAATCCAAAAATACTTCAACACACACATGACAAAGGTCTCGACAGACGATTGGGACGAGCTCGAGGAGCAGGTCTCACGGATCATCAAAAGTTCAAGGGCTGGCTCAAATTTTACAGAAGGTGCAAAAATGAACATGCAGACGTGAAGGAAGGGATAACATTTGGGAGCTCCCAAAGCAAGAGGGTATTCGAATGGGTAATACTCGTGTCAGGATGTATCATGAACGACTGTTGGCGAACCCATGCTTGGGAGAGAGCAAGGGGGGATTAGCTTCGAGATGTGCCTGCCCTAGGCGGTGTGAGCGCAAGGTTTACGAGGAAATTCGGGATGAGCATATTGCCAGTTGCTCAGTGTGATGGCACATGATAGAAATGAGACTTTTAGTCGACACCGAGATACCCACAAACGAAACTTCGGCACGGGAAAAAAAATTATGACAATGGGAGAGAGCAAATGAGCCCCCCCTCCAAACACGTACGGATATTTTTGTGTAATTTGTTTCGCTCCGTAGCCCGCTGTCTTTCGAGCGCCTCTATCCCATGGGGTTACCAGTCGCAAGATGATCCCAGCAACGCTGCCACTCTCTCGAGACCTTCTCGGTCTTGTTCATCGAAGCCGTCGAGTTGAGCACAGTCAACGTCGATCACGCCGACGACCTGCGGTAAATGAGTATCAGTTCGCCATTCCCTCATCAGAGACGAAACAGGAAGGGACAAGAGATATGAACACGAGACGCCAGACAAAAGGAGCCGCAAAGGCGATGGCGATGGTACTGGCACTGAGGACTCACTTTTCCACCAGAGCGAATGGGGACGACAATCTCGCTCTTCGTGTCGCCGTCGCAGGCAATATGGCCGGGGAACGCCTCAACATCCGTCACCACCACGCTCTTGCCGGACCCATCATCGCCTGTCGCGGCAGTCCCGCACACGCCCCTGCCCAGGGTGATGGTCTGGCAGGCGACTTTGCCCATAAAGGGGCCCAGAATCAGCTGCCTGGTCGGGTTGGCGGGATCCAGGACATAGAAGCCGGCCCAGTTCACGGCGGCGGCCTGCACGGAGACGGAGGCAGGCAGAGAATGGTACATGTGCCAGAGCAGGGACGCGGCGTTGGCGAGGTTGCAGACCCAGTTGCGTTGGGACGCGACCAGGGCCTCGACCGATGCGAGCAGTTGGGCATATGCCGCCGGCTTGGAATGGACGTCGGTGAAGTGCGAGTACTCGGCATGAGGCTGCTGCTGGTGCTGCTGGTGTGTCTTTGTATGTTTTTGTCAATCATGTCAATCACTATGGCCACGCTTTTCCCAGCAGGTGAAGAGGGAGGGACTCTCTACCATGGTCAGGATGATCAATCAAATCAGGTCACCTATCGTTCGGCCGGTCGAAGGACAGTTAAATGTAAAAGCTTTTTCCTCTTTCCTGCCTTTCCTGTTCCGCTCCACAGTTTCTTGCCTATTCTTTTACTCCCTCTCTCCCTCCCTCTTTCTCCCTCTCTTTCTCCCTTTCTTTTTCTCTTTCTCTCTTTCTCTTTCTCTTTCTTCTGGATGTCGTGTGGCCGTGAACTTGTGCTTTGGACAGTCAGTCTCACGAGTACAGGGGGCTCTGTATAATGGTCGGTTCAGCGGGACGCGAGGGAGAGAGCGGGCCAAGGAGTGATAAAAATCTTAGACCTAAATTAGTACATAGTAGCAATATTGGTTACGTCGTAATCATGTGGATGTTCGGTGGCTGTGGCAATTCCACGCAGACGGATCTTGGCACGGCCGCTGATCACGAGCGGTCCCCGATTCGTAGTTCTGGATATCAATGCAATACCGGCGGGCCTCAAACATCTGCCTAATTATCTACCTGTAATACAGGATACGACAGTGTGCTTGACCGCTCCATGCCCGGCTCAAGCCTGCTCTCGGCCCACTGGCCCGATTCACGGCACGACAGGAACTGAGGGAAGGTCGGTCAAGTCTGCCTCCGAACCGGAATCGGCCCAACCTCGCCAGAGGCAAAACGCCCCTGAACGCCCCCATCCCCGCCGATCGAGGATCTATGCTCTTAGCTACCGAGTAATTATGTGGCTACCAAACTACAGTACCTACTGTACTCGCAACAGGCATCGAGCGGACGAGGCGGACGAGGGGCTAAGGAGCTTATCACCGGATGGACCTTGTAGGTGTCGTTCCCATCTCCCTCTCGTTTCCCGCCAATCATTCACAAAATGATGCACTTTGAGAGCCGAGTGCTCGCCACGGGTAGCAAACTATTGGACGGAGGAGGCCACGGACTTGGTCTTTTTCTGGTGAACATGGTCTGATCGAAAATCCTAATTCACAATTATTTCCGTAAAGCGGGAGAAAAAAAGAGAGAGGCTCTGAGAGAAAAGATAAAGACAACGCAGAGCGCCACTGCCGGGTCCCAAGCAAGATCGAAAGGAAACCATGTCCTGCCCCGACTGCTTTCGCGGCGCTATCCACACCCATTCCGAGCCCACGGGCAAGATCGAGACCCTCCATGGCATCAATACCTACGTGGCCGGAGGCAGCGACCCCGCGCGTTCCAAGTCCGCCATCATCTATCTCCCTGACGCCTTCTCCCTGAAGCTGGTCAACAACAAAATTCTGGCGGACAAATACGCCTCCGTGACCGGCTGCAAGGTCTTGATCCCGGACGTCGTCTATGCAGGCGGCATGCCGCCCGCCGTGATGCACAAGATGGAACAACTGTTGGGCAGCTCGCTGAGCCTCACCAACTTCTTGTCCAAGGCCTACACGGCGCTGACTCTCCTGCCGCACGCGGTCCCGTTCCTGATCTGGGGTCACCCAAAGAACGTGTACCCGACCATCCTAAAATTCGCGCGCGACGTGCGAGCGGAGCTGCCTGAAGGAGGGAAGCTCGGAGTCGCGGGCTTTTGCTGGGGCGCGTGGCCGGCCACGAAGCTGTGCACGGAACCGGCCGTGGAAGGAGGGCAGGAGCGCCTGATTGACGCGCAGTTCAACGGCCACCCGTCGTACATCATCAAGGAACCGCACATGGTCGTAGACGCGGTCAAGGCGTTCAAGACCCCCTACGCGTCCGCGGTCGCCGAGAAGGATTTCCAGTTCAACGCCGATGTCGCCGCCAAGACGGAGGCCCAGTTGAGAGAGGCCCTCGACGGAAGCAGTATCGACGGGGCGAACGGCTATATCTACGAGTTCCGAATCTACAAGGACGCCACCCATGGATTCTGCGTCAAGGCCCGCGAGGAGGATATGCAGCACTACCACGACGCAGCGAAGCAGGCCACGGACTGGTTCAACATGTATTTAAACTGAGAGTGCGACTCGCCGAATGTGAGACACCGGGGATGGTTACGATGGGCTATTGAACTTCTGAGATACCTAGGAAGGGAGGGAATTTGCGTGGAAAGTAAATGGGAGAAAGGAGAAGACTGCTCTTGGACGGAGGAAACGAACGAAGAAGAGGTATTGATTGACAGGGCTCCGGACTGCTTACTGTGCTGCAGTCACAATGTTTTGCTGGGCTTTTATTTGGTCTTTTCGCCTGCTCCACGAGACCCTCAAGGCCCAACCCAGGGCAAGATGGGGTCTGACCGAGAAACGACTCGCTCAAGCAATGCAAATGAAATCCTCATCGCTGCAAGACCTTTGTTTTAGTATCCGCCGCCTCCTTGCTCTCTTGCCCTTATTGAATCCATCCATGTACCCTTCCAGTCATCGTCATCATCATCAGCTGTCCTTTGTTTATTAGTAGTCATAAGGGCGCACAGGGAGAGACAGAGAACTCTTCGCGGTGTCCTGGTGAAGTAATGCTCAGTATAACACACCGAAGGGAAAGCAATCGCAATGCTGGATCCCGCTCTTCGTGGAGCACAAACTCTTTGTTTCTTGCTAGATGACGTGTTCTAGATCCATTTGTTGGACTTCCTCCTCCTCATCATCAATCGAATGCAACATGTACCCGTCAATGCGCAATGGTCTCGTAAAAGCATAATATACACAATCAGTCTTTGAAAATAAACGCCTCATCCAGCCCCCACCGGCCCATGAACCCCTTGTAAACCCAAGTGTATGCTTTATATTTAGGACCCCTCTCAGGCAGTCTCAGTTGCAATCTGGCCATACCATTTCTCATGACCCTTCCAGTCGACCGATCGGATCCTGTCGAGCGAATCCACAACTCGGTTAACTTCCTCCAAGAACTCAGGCATGCCTGCGCGAGCCAGGACTTCCCCCGCACTTGTGGTAGTCCGGACTCTCTCGGCCGTGCTAGCAGCCGAAAGCCTGGCAAAAACATGTTCTCGCATTGTCTTCAAAAGGAAACTCGCAATTTGCTCGCTAAAGACATCCGCGCTGGTTGTTTCAGCTGGCCCGTACATTGTTTGGTTGCGCATGGCATCCTGCCGCGCTTGCTCAGCGGCGTCGAGGTTTCTCGCTGCCGCTGCGGCAGGAGGCAGGACTCGTCCAACGAAATTCGACAGGCCCTCTTTTGTTGGTTCCGGCATCATGTGGGATGACTCGATGAGGGAGACGATTCGGCTGGAATCGACTTTCAACAGATCCAAAGACATCAGACGTTCTGCATCTTTGGTCCAAAGAGACTCCCTATTGCGCCTGAGTCTAATCTTGGTGGTGAGCAGAATCGAGGATATGGCCACTATATGAAAAGCGCGAGCTCTTAATTCGTGTAGGCGCATATAGTCAAGCCGTAGGGTCTCGGGAATATCGTGATAGCTAAGATGTGAGTTGCGCAACACCAGGTCGGTCAAGCCCCTGGCGTATATCATAGATGCACTCACGTTTTGAGATGCCATGCTGGACTTCGCACTTGTCCACCATTGCTTAGTTCCCGTGAGCGTATGAACACCTTGTTCAAGATCTCGTTCGAATGACGCAATTTCGTACTCGTGTCCACGTTCCAGCACCGCCTGTGATGCCAATCTGAATTGGAAGTTGATATGGTCCAAAGTCATCAAATCGATGATATTAATGAGCTCGAAAAGACGGTCAACTGTGTCGCTAGTCGTATTGACGCTAAATGCACTCACGATCTCGTCTCGCCCCGGGGAACAGATCTGTGCAATCAACCGTGAGATGGTCGTGAAAAAGGAATCGTAAGAGAACATGCCATTCCGACACTGTTGGCTTATCAAAGCTGGATCCAGAAAGCCGTCCATCCTACCGTAGAGAGGATGTCGCGGGCTGATGAGAGCCATGAGCTTCTCTCGAATGAGGACTGCCGTGGAGTGAATCCACCTGGCTGTTACTTCTCTGTCTCCCCCTTGTATGCCTTCACGCATGCTGTTCCGCAGCGAGTCCATCAAGCCTTTGCGGGCATCTGTCCAAGGCCTTTGTTGCACCTCAAAACTGCCATTGATGAGAATTTCGTGCGCAATCTCCCGATTGGACGGCAAAACGGTCATCATCTGCGAGAGACTCTCGCGAAAAGCCGTCACCCTCGCTGTCTGGTCTGGTCGACTGGCGCCTGGTGTTGCGGGAGGTGTGATCAGCGCCCCTTCTGCCACATTGGCCTCTTCGGTGGCAGGTGTAGATGCTCGTGGGACTTGCTCCGTTGCGTTCTGCCGTTTTTCCGCTGCCCTTTGCTTCCGAGCCTTTCTGACGGCTGTCCGGACTCTTGACAAAGCCTCGTCGGGCCCCGCAAGCCGTTTCAGACGAGCAAGTAATTTGATCTGCTCCTGTCGGACGGCATCAAGATAGTCATCGGCAACATGGCCGTGATGATCGTTTTTGGTAGCCTGCAGAATCAAATCCAAATTGACAAATGAGCTGACCATGATGTCCACAAGCACTCCCAAGTCCTGGCTTTTCCATGCGTGGAAAGTCGAGGTGAAGTCGTTAAAGGCAAAGGAAAAGGCCTCCATTCCCGATTGCGATAAACTTGGTTGTGATGGAGTTTTCAGGGTGTCAATGCAGGACTCGAAAGTTTCGACCAGCGAACGAGATTTCGCCATGAGCTCTTGCTCCTGAGGCTGATTTCCACCATGACTGAAAGCCTGCGTTGGATGTGTAAGAACCAAATATGCACTCAGGAACACACGGGCAACCCCGGGATCTTCCTGGCCATTGTCAAGAACACCTAGGTGTCGGAGAACTGACATTGTAGCAGCTGTGGTCCGTTGGTCCGAAATGAACTGGGTCAACTCTTCAAAGGAGAGCGTCTTGGCTTGCTGCAGGTCGAGTCCCAGGGCAGAGAAGTTGGACAGGATCTTGCGCCTGTGGTAACGCCGCCACGATCGCTGGATGACTTTTGCAGCATAGACGTGACTCGAGCGTCTCAACACTGCTGGAGCGACTTTCTTCTCCTCAACTGCCGCCAGTGAAGCTGTTCTGGACCTCCGGGTGCCTTGCTGGTAGATGGACCTCCGCCTATCTGCCTCTGCATATTTCTCGGCCATTTCTTCCTTGAGCCTCGCCAATTCAGCTGCCTTTTTCTCCTTGGTCTCCTCGGCGATCTTTTTGGCGCGTTTCACCTCTTCCTCACAGCGTGCCGCAATCTCCGCAAGCAGCTTTTCCCGGGCTGCCTGCGCAGCCAAAGCCTTCTCCTCGCTGTAGGTTGCCCTTTGCGCCGCTTTGGCGGCGGCCGCCCGGAGCCTGACCTGCTCCGCGTGGGCGGCACGGTCCGCCAGGCGAGCCTTTCGACTCTCAATGATAGAAGCTCGTCGCAGATGCTGTGCGATATGCGTGCTGCGGGGCCCGCCATGGCTGGACAGCGCGGAGGAATGAGAATGAATCGAGGACAGCGAGCTTCGGCGAGATGAATTGGCAGAGGACTTTCGGCGGACAGAGGATTTGCGGTGGAAGCGTGCGGCTATATGAGGCGGAGGTTCGGTATATGACAGAGGCTCATCGGTGCTCAAGTTCATCTCAACATCTTCGGAAGTCGGGGATGCAGGATCCATATTGGAGACGCGACAGCCGTTGATATCCAAGAAGGCATAAACGGATCTCGAAAAGAAGTCAGCTCAGAGATCAGCAGCTACCTCGAGTTGAAATGAAGCAAGACTGAAAGTTGAACGAAAGGCGCTTCTCGGAAAACAGTCGAGAGCAGCGCGAGGTCTGTTGTAGGTCGGGCTTACTCTCAAAGCAGCCGGAAACGTCGTGTGAATAACGCACAACAAAGAAAACTGTACAAGAAGTAAATGTTGGCAGAAGAGAGCGTCGAAAGGAGATGAATCAAGGGAACGCTGAGGCAACAAGGTGCAGTGCGAGAGGCTGGGAGGATGGAGGAGGGGAACATGGAAAGGTTGTGCCACTGGCGGTTTGGGAAGTGACGAAGTCATGGTTTGTTGTTTGCCGCAGTGGCTGCTGGAACCTGCCAGTATCAATGGGCCTCTGTAGGCTACAGGCTAGTTGTGACAGCCTGCCCAAGTACAGCCACACGCCTAGCCAGTCGGGAGTTAGTCGGCGTCAGAGCCACGGCTGGTGCCCACGAGTGCCAAGAATCCTGGTGGCCGGTTGCCTGCAACAGCTTGTCACCCCCCCGTTAGGCCGCCCCAGCCTCGCCTAACAAGTAAAGACTCCGGAGCTCGGCAAAGATCCGCTAAGTGGTGCATGTAAAACTGCCTGCGATTAGGTACTGTTCAAATGTACGAGGTACTCCGCACTCTGCAATCTGTTCGCCCGGCTCACACTGACCATATCTACGGCCTTTCGAGTGCCAGGACCTGGGAATGGGCACACCGTCTCATACAGCGAAGGCAAGAAGCGTTTAGCTGACATCTCAGTTTTCAAGCCATTCATACCGCCCCAGAGCTCCTCCGAACCCCAGACAAACTCCGATCCACTGTTGTCACTCCTTGGACTTCATCGAATTCAGTATGTCTCGGGCACTGACAAAGTCAAATTCATCCAGCGTCTCTCGCCATACCTGCTCGATTAGCTGTTTGCCATGTGGAGTATACAAGAGCGGGGCGAATCTGAAAGATGGTGCATGCGTTAGTAACATATCCGATCATTACTTGGAGGCAAAGGAGGGAAAGGAGGCAGACAGCGCCCGCTACTCACGGCCGGACTCGCCAGTCTGCGAGGTAACACCCGTGCGACTCTTTGCCCTTTGAAATCGTGGCGTCGAGATACGTTGATGCGCCATGCTCCACCTTTCTGGCTGTTGTCGCTCCCAGGAGCCACAGGATTGCCGCTCCAATGCCAGTCACTTGACGCTGGAGATTGGTCCCTTTGACATAACCAGGGTCCACCAGATTCACGACCACGTCTTCAGCGGAGACCCAGTCCTGAAGCTGGTATATAAACATGTGGCTTAGATGCTTGGATACGGAATAATTGGTCATTGGATCGAACTTATCACCCTCGCCAAGAGACGTCAAGATTGCCTGATTCCTTTCCGGAATCTTCGCGAGTAGGGCCAGTCCTGAGCTGACAAAGAGACGGCCCGGTACATTGGGTGGAGCCCTCTGCTTCAAGACCGGTAGGAGGAGAATGGCAAGGAACATTGTCGAAAGGTAGTTGACCTGGATCATCTCCTCGTGGCCAGTACTACTGTTGACTTCGAATTTGACGTTGCCCACCCCCGGCATTAAGAATGACCAAATCCAAACGCGGCAATTCGCTCCCTGCCCGTTTGGCAAAGGCTTCGACGGATTGGTATGAAGCCATATCCAGGGACCAGACCCTAATGCTTGCGTTCGGATATTGTTTTGAGAGCTTGGTGGCAGCCATTTCACCCTTCCGGACAGAGCGCACGGCAAGGATTAGGCTGGATAGGTTGAAGGAGAGAAGTTGGCGGGCAGCTTCATACCCTAGACCGACATTAGAGCCTGTGATGATTGCAACTGATGTGCTCTCAGAAGCCATATCAGTAAGCCGGTCTATATACGGAAGTCGAAGCAATTGTCTTCGACGGTAGGATATGAGGTTTCAGAGAACATACCTCTGTCACAGAGGTTGGTCCCTCTTGGAAGTTGTTGAGGTGTGGTACAGAATTGAGACTCAAAAAAGAGCTTCATGTAGCTCTTCGGCGAGGGAGGGAGGTCTTTGGAGGATGCCATTGTGTACCGTATCAGGTTGTCTTGAATGTCGGAAACCGCGAGAAGACAAAGATGATGCATGGGATGCCAGGCCTCTTGAGTGACATTATAAAGGCACCTCTGATGGAGGCCACCACAGCCTCTCTTTGCATCTCCGCATCCACGGATCACAACAAGGTGTACGGTGATAAAGCACAGGCGGAGGTAAGTGATGAACTCCGTGCGTGATCGAGGCTGATGGCACGAGTGCACAGATGTGATGAAGCGGAATGGTCCTTGGGGAATGATCAATCTGATTCCACTGAACAGACCAAAAGGCGACACACATTTCATGCGCTACTAGATGGAACACAAAATCGATGGCATCGGCGGGGCACAAGGCTCTCTTGTCTCTACCTACAGACCTTCGGCTTCAAGGAGCTATGCTCTAAACGGCAAACAATCTCAACTATAGTAGAAAGGCTGGCGACTTGGTGCCATCGGGACTCCAAATCCTGGAATGGCGGCGAGCTTCTCCCTGCAAAGCATGTGGGATGTGGATTTGAGCAATGTCTGCCTTCCACCAAGGTTTCGCCTTCCCGGCCGGCCGCGCCGCTCTTGTTGTATCTTATGGCCCATTATGGTCCGTCGGCCTTCGCAGTCGAATAGGTATCGACTGTGGAAATCCCCAGATCTGATGTTGGGCTTACCACGTGCAGATCTTATGCCTTTCATTTTATCGACAAGTGGAGTGGAAGTACAAGGCCCGAAGACGTGAAGACATATCAGGAGTCATGTAGTACTGGGACAGAACCTGGGCATGAGTGGACATATTGCGGTAAACCGTGCCAGGCTTTGGGCGTGTGGTCAGCAGCTGTGGCAATCAGCAAGTTGGGAGATCAGCCCGCGAGCGAAGCCTTCAGACAGCCTCTGAACAGCGCAGCATTCCGGCCAACATGGATCCACAAATGCTCAACAATAGTCTGACCTGTGCGTTTCCGGCTACATGAAAATTTGAAGTATACTGACATGGTGCAGAAGAGCCACCTTGGTCTCAAAGAAACCCCCCTTCCCCAAGCGATATGTGTTCTTCGACAGACGCGATGCTGGCCCTTCATGTTCGCCACCCTCCATTTTCGCGAGCACCAGGGCTGCTGTATTCATCCATACTTTTGCGGACAGCCGGCGACACATTCGGCCTGGACGCTCCAACCCCTTACAGAACGGCCTTTCTCTCGAGAGCGAGTGGGCCATCTCAGAAACGCCACTCATGTTTGTCCCGCCCTTGTGGTAAGAAACTCTGGCATTCGACTGTTTCGTACAATACGGACCAGGAGGCCAGTCAATTCGACGGCAAAGCCGTGTCCATTAACTAGCGCGAATGCAAATTTCTTCTAATTGCTTAGAAACGCTGTCTTGACATCCTGGGACCTGAATCTTGAGTGCTGGAACCCTGTCCGTTCTCACCGTCTCTTTACACTCCCGCCTTTTCTGCTGTCAATGTCGCTCGTGATGGGCAATGTCGGCCTCATCAAAACCATCTACAGTGTCTTCTAATAGTCATGGACTTGGGAAGACCTTGCCGAAGTTTAGCAGAAATATCCAGGTACGCATTGCTTCCTCGAAATTGGTGTCTTTCTAAGTCACACAACCGTTAAGAACTTTCAGTGGTGATAGAATCATAGAACATTGAGTACCGCAAGCCCATGAGGGCCCCAGATCTCTTTTTGGAACTACCACCCGCCATTACCACCGGCACAGCCTACTGGGTAGTCTGCGCCAATGGTTGACACAATGCGGAACGACACCTATCGCGGGCTGGCGAATGCTGCGATGGCAAGAGGTGATTTTTCGCTTCGGTGGTCGATTTCTGATCTTCTCACAGATGCAAGGTCTCGGCCTGTAGAGCAATTCCCAGAGACTTGCAGGACTGGTCTCTTGGCCCTTAAAGTCAAAAATGTTCATTCCACTTCGTTTCCGCCGAGTAGAATGAACAATTTCAACATCCGGCGAGACGCCGCTAAGCCCTTACTGCGACCCAATACCGATCTTGGTGGCGATCAAAGATGAGCGCGACTTCGCATCTTGCCTGGAGATCGGCCTTTTCTATGACAACTACCCCAGCAGAGGCGTCTTTGGTCGCGAAAAGAGGAGATGTTGTAAGTGGCGGGCAAGCCTAAGTCGCTTCAGAGATCTCCACAAGACGGACAAATTGTTGGAGGCTTGCCGGAGTACGAGGTATAGCTCAATCAAGTTGCCACAGCCCCTCCAGCTCGACCCAATGCATTCTGCATCCAGAGCAACAGAAAGCTAGATCCTCCACGCCACTACTGCAATGTTTCCTCTCGAAAATATGCCCTGCCACATCGAAATCGGCCGCAAGGAAGAGACCTGACAGGGGTTTTTGCTGTGGGTCACGACTTTTGGCCTTTGAGTTTTCTGGCTCCTTGTGGGCCTGGGATTGTTGGGCAATCTGAACCAGACCCTTCAATTGCCCGCCCCCAAGAGGGCCAAGTATATGGACATATCTACAACCTACGAGCCTCGATCACTGCAGTCGTGAAGGGTATCGCAAGTTGTCTATGCTTCGGGCGGGGGGGAAGCGGACTGGGAGTGCATCCGCGCGCCAACAGCTGACCATCACCATCGACGAGCAAGCAAACTGGAACACCAAGAATTAGCGTCGTCTCCTCCAGTGTTTTGAGGCTATTGGATTTTCAGATCAGAGTTCGAGGGGATGAGGCAGGCGGCAGCGGCGTGACCAAGGGACCCTTGTCGATTCCAGCAGTAGATGGTGGTTCTGAGAAAAGTCAGTGGTTGGATCTGCCTCACTGGTCTTCCAGCAAGCCAAAACGCCCCGCGCCAAAGTCGAAGCGGACAAGTCAACGAATGAAAGGGTTTGAGATCCAGCGTGTGGCCGCTTCGCCCACATCTCTTTCACCAACTGCCATGATCCGAGATTTAGGTGCCTCCCCGGAACTAACTGCTCTTAGCAGCTTCCAGGCGAAAGGGGACAGCTGAGAGCTTCGGCGACCTAGAAATGAGCTAGACGGTATCTCGGCTCGTCCTATGGAAAGCTCTCGCTGCACACCACCAACGGCCGCTCATTCCAACATGGGGAAGTTTGACTGATTGCTTCTGCATACCTGCGGGAGGAGACTGACTGCTGGGTACTGTCGTCCAATGGACCTGGAACTCGCCGTCTGTCTCGTTTCTGCCCGCCGGTTGTCAACTCTTGGTTTCTCCAAGCAAAAACCTAATCATCCTGGACGCTCCACATCGGCCCCCCCCCGCTATACAAGCCGGATTGGGATCGGGTTGTTATGCATCAGGTCAGTCTTGATGTCGGCTTCGAGGTCTCACAGAGGCTGATGGTCCAGAGAATCTCTTCTGGTGTGAAAATAGCCATTTGAACACGGTTATAAACTTCGGCCTCCCCAGCCCTGTTCTGATTCCCTCTCTATTTTTCTTCACGCCGAAACCTCAGGTACTGATTGCATCCTCTCCTTGCTCAGTCAACCATGCCCATTAGTTATTTGACCCTGCCCCCCTTGGAGTACTTATCTGGCCCCGCGGTTGGAGTGATTAACAAGAAAAGAGAGCTCGATGTCTCTGATACTGAAGAACAACAGGAGAATAAAAGGAGAGGAGACCCAGAGAAGAAGCAAGTGCACTGGAATTTGAGCCCGATGCTTCCTGCTCGCTATCTCTATTCGGACCTGCTCGTCCGGGAGGTCCCATTGCCAGAGTAGGGTTCCATCCTATTGCCAAACACGAGTCACTGACCAAAGAGGAACGACAGACCCGTGAATTGGTATGCTCCGGGTGTAGGATATCATGTACCTCCAAAGAGACGAGGTTCAACGAGCTGTTGGTCCACCGATTCCATGTTCAGCCACACGACTCAAGCTTGTGATGGTCCTTGTGACCGCGCTGTCACAACGTCGGGATCTGACCTTTCTTTCTCCGCAAGCCAAGGGCACTCATTGAGCCCTCCATGGCGTCCAGCTCCGCCTAGGCCGGCCTCCCAAAGTGGCCCACGATCTGACCCACAAGATCCGCCTTCACGCTGCTGGTGCGAAGCTGTAGAGCGGCAAGACGTGAACGCCAACGAAGACGAGTCGAACGAGCCCAATGGCACGGGGCCTCGTCCAGGGGATGCGGTTCAACGCCCGGCCGATATCGCGGCAAACAATCCACCTGAGATACAGGTGAATGAAAGTGCGGCCGCCATACCGATTGGGCGTCTGACCAAGCAAGATGAGGGATACAATAGTCCTCCACCTCCTTATCCTACGGAGGGCCACAATCCACCAAATCCAGCGGTGTATGAAGCGGCTGTCAAGCCCGCACTGCTGGCCGACACGTCTCTCAACTGTCCAGTTGAGCAAGGTCTGCGGCACCGCTTTCCTGCGCCGCCTCTGGAAGGCCACATTCCTCCAGAGGCACCAGCACACCGACTGTCCGCTGCTTGCCTTGAACCACCGGCCATGACAGCCAACAGTGCGTTCGGGCGAAAACTGGTACGCATCTATCTATCCCTTTCCCCTTCCAATTTACTGCCTTTGCGTCTAACATTCTGCGTGATGAAGCCCACTCTTGAGTGGCAGAGCGGCCCATTCTGGAGGCCAATGCCATGGGCGCCGTGGGTGCCGTAGTGAACGACGTCTGCCACAATGCAGGCTGATACGGCTGAGCAGATTCACCGACCCGCCCCTCCCTGCTGTTGGAGTGACTGACGATGATCATGACGAAACGTTGACGCTTGCCGCCCATGAGACAAGACACGTATGGTGAACACGAGAGTGACGACGGGAGCCGGATGGAAATCGTTCCAGAAAAGTTTCATTTCGTTGGGCTGACTGATCACTCTCATTCAAATCATGTTAGTTCTATGTTTTCGTTTTTCCTCTTCTTATTTTTGTGGCTGTCTCCTTCACCACCACCACCAGTCACCCGCCTGACGCCACTCAGGTAATATGGCTCGTCTGGCCGGGCTTGTCTCTCTTTCGGTGGCAGCGTTGAAATTGAGAGTGCTGGGAATTGTATCATACACGAGGCAAACCCTGCAGAGGTGGTTCTCCTCGAGGATGGCCTTGCGGGCGGAGGGATTGGGTTTGACGATATCTATCATTTCCTTACCACAGAATGGCACCTGCAACAGCAGCGGGAATAGCAATAGGGCAATAGCAATAGCAATAGTACCAGTCAGTCATAGTCTGCCTCCGTCCCCCTCCCCCTCTCCCTGTGTAAGCATGGCAAGCAAAAAAAAGCAACGTGGCACGCTGGAACAAGCCATCAAGGACAAGAACACGGATGTGTGTGGGACAGAGCTAGGTGCCGTCTGTCCCGTCCCACCCCTCTCCTCCTCTGCTGGACGTTCAGGCCATGGACAGTTCATGTGCATGCACCCACCAACCATGGGCTTTGGGCCATGGCGGTACGGACGACTCGACCCAACCAAAAGAGACCAGGACTATAGGTTACTGGGCACATAGTCATAGACGACGAAGAACATCCGCTCTCCATCCATTGCCCGTCCACTCACCTATCGACCAGCCCATTTGCATCTGCAATCCGTGGATGGTGATCACTTTGAAGCGCGGTTCCGAGTCGCAATACCAGGGTCAAAGTCAAAGCCAAAGCAAAGAGGAAGCAAAGGGCAGAGGGGAGGGCAAGAGAGGACACATGCAAGGGCCCCTTGAACAAGTGATGGTGCCCCAGTCAATACGAGCCCTCCTTCATCGGTTGCCAAAAGTCCTTCCCCGTATCGAAGGAGTTGGAAAACGAATGACCTAATCACTTGTACTTACTCCTCGTATTTACACGCTTCACCGTCTCCCTTGCGTCCCCCCTCCACATTTTGCAGAATGGGGCTCCATGCAAGAAGCTCGTCCAGAAGCAGCCCTGGCAGCACGCACTACCTTGAAAGGAGGAAAGAAAGCAGATGAGGGGCAGGAAAACTTGGTTTCGGCGACAAGAAGAAAGGCGTCATCAGGCAGAGCCGCGAGGATGGTTTTGCTTGAACCAAAAAGGGATGGGAAGGGGAGGAGAGGTTCAGTCAGGCTGTTCGAATCGAACCTCGTATCAAGTGGACGGGGGAGGACGGCCCCTCGATATGAGCTCAGCCTGGGTGTGCCATTGCGTCGTCCTGGGTCATCGCCCTGCAACCAGTGCACGGTCCCGCATAGGAAGGGGCCAGGGAAGTTCAACGCATGCGTGAGCGGCAGAGTACGAGGTAAGTGAATTAACTCACACGAGAGCTTTTTCTCCTCTTGGACCAAACACCGCCGGACAAGGAAGGCAGTTTGACATCAAACTTTGGTGTGCCATCATTCGCGGCGAATCAGATCAGACGCGCCTAATCATCCCCTTTCCGGGATGGAAGCGCGGGGAGGGAGGAAGGGATGATGTGGAAACTCTGAATCGATTGATGGGTAGATCATGGCTGTGGTTCCGGTTGAGTTGGTGGAAACTCAGCCTTCACTCCACCTGTGTACATGAGCACAGCATCACTTGAGTATCACCACCACCTCCATTCATGCATGCAAGCAGCATGCACCAGAGAGTCGCACAGAGTCGTGGCGCTTCCAGCTAGGACGGTTCCAGGCAATCCTGAGCCGATCACCAACCCGGGCGCTTCACTTGGTTACACAGGGGTTGGATGGCCTTCGGTTGGTTACGCAGTGGTTCGATGGGCTTGCTAGTTCGTTATACAGGGGTTGGTTGGATTTGCAGGCCGCCGATCGTTGGGGGGGATGATGGGCCTTTCTTTTTCAAATCCCCGGAGAACAGAGTGATCGCCAGGTGGACAGGTAGGGAGAGAGAGAGAGAGAGAGAGGAGGCCAGACAACTCGTGTTTTTCGCTTAGCAGGGCGATGATCTCATCTCCAAAGCAGCCCGAATCGGAGTTCGGCTACCCAGTAGTTAGGAGCAGGACGAGGAGGGAGAGATGAAGCGAGGTGAATTTGTGACCTGTGACTCGTCGTCGTATGTAATAATAGGCACCTCGTACGGGCGCGAGAATGGTGTTGGATTTTGCTCTGTTGCTGGGCTGCTGCTCGGATCGGCTCCATCAATCCGCCCGCCGTCCGATTTCCGTTTAGCTTGCGCATGTCTCTGTGCCTGCAAATTGCGAAATGGGCAATTACGTGACTCCGAAATTCCGGCCAAGTAAGGGTGTAGGTACTCGCTATGCCCATGACCTCAACTCGACAAACCCAATAATATTTCCATGTCCTCCGTATATATAAAGCAAAACCAAAAAAAAATAAAAAATAAAAATGAACAGGATGGCGCTGGCTCTTGGAAGTGGTGGTGCCTATCGAGAACACTCACCACCAGCACCACCCATCACTATTGCACCAGTGGTGTCCTACTGTCATGGCAAACAAGGCACAAGATGATCTTGTATTGGTGACCGGCGCGAGCGGGTTTTTGGGAGCCTATTGCGTCCTGAAATGTCTTTTGAGCGGCTATCGTGTGCGAGCCACCATCCGATCGGCCCAAAAAGCAGACCATGTGCGGGAAATGCTCAAGGCCGGCAGCAGCAACAACAACAACGGTGGTCCGGACGGCGAGTCACTGAACCTCGACAACCTCACCTTCGCCGTGGCAGACCTGCTCAACGACGATGGCTGGCCACAGGCTGTCCAGGGCTGCCACTATGTCTTGCATGTCGCATCGCCGTTTCCTCCCGGCCCCCCCAAGCATGAGGACGACTTGATCTTGCCCGCACGCGAAGGCACGCTTCGAGTGTTGCGAGCGGCGCGAGACGCTCACGTCAAGCGTGTCGTCGTCACCTCATCCTTTGCCGCCGTCGGGTACGGGCTCCCCAAGAACAACCACGGGCCGTTTACCGAGGACATGTGGACCGACATCAACGGGCCCGGCGTCAGCGCGTACCAGAAGAGCAAGACGCTTGCGGAGCGCGCGGCCTGGGACTTTGTCAACAACAGCAACAATGAAGGCGGCGGATCGTCGCTGGAACTCGCCGTCGTCAACCCCGTGGGCATCTTTGGCCCGGTGCTGGGCAGCGATTTTGCCACCTCGATCATGCTGGTGCAGCGCCTCCTCAACGGCTCGCTGCCCGCCTGTCCACAGATCCAGTTCGGCATCGTCGACGTGCGCGACGTCGCCGACCTGCACCTGCGCGCCATGATTGACCCCAAGGCCAATGGCGAGCGCTTCATCGCCGTCTCCCCGCCGGGCATGACCGTGCAGCAGATCTCGCTGGCGCTGCGTGAGAGGATGGGCAGCGTGGCCAAGCGCGCACCCACGCGGACCCTGCCCAACTTTGTCCTGAGACTCATGGCCTTCTTTGACCCGGCTGTTGCTCTGGTCGTTCCCGAGCTCGGCAAGTTCAAGGAGATCTCAAACGACAAGGCAAAGACCGTGTTAGGTTGGCGACCTCGGCCGCCCGTCGACGCCCTCGTTGCCACTGGGGAGAGTCTGATCAAGTTTGGCATTATCAACTCGGCATGAAGGGAGTTCCCTGGATCAGTGAAATGGCATCTTCGGTAACCACTGTTTCACAGTTGCAAAAGAAGATAATATCAACGGGCTCGATTGATATGGCCATGGTCGTAATATTGTCTCTGTTGTAGCTCGGGTTTCCGGTTTGGGTGGTTGTCTCGAAGATGGAGCTTGACATGCAAGAATCAAGATTTCTGTGGCAAATGTAGACTCGGACGGTATTGTTTTCTTTGTTCCTAACGGCCTGGTTCGTCTGAGCACCTCATCCAGGAAGCGAAGGAGATTCTCCGCAGATGGTTCACTGGTATTGCCTTTTCGGTGTCGAGTAATCCATGCCTCCCAGGTATTCGCCCATCAATCAACGCTTTTTTGACTGGTCCAACTCGTGACTCTTTGTCGAGCTCTCTGTATCCTCTCTTACTTTCCGTACAATCTTCATCTTTGTAGGCGAACAAAAGAGCAATCTTTTAAGCACCAGGTGCTGCGTATTTGTTCTAGGACTCGGGCTGAGGCTCGTCGGGCTCAGGCTGGTCGGGCTGGGAAGAGTCGAACATAATATCATTACTTTTCTCCTCTTCGGCCAGACCTGGAAGGTCGTCATTTTGGAGGATGTGCCAAATTAAGGAGACGTGAGGATGGAAAAGGCGATAACGCGAAAAGCTGGAGGAGCTTGAATTCATGCACACTCCGAGACAGTAAAGAAGTAAAACAATGTCTCTCTAAATGTAAATGAGGTAAAGCGAACCTAAGACTGTAACAAGACAAAAGGTCTCTGAGAAGACAGATAGAAAGGAGATCAATGGAGCGAAAACACCGACACCCTTCACGGAATGTATAATGACGACAAAAAGTGAAGAATGTGACCCTCGTTAAGGTAGAGATAAGAGAGAGGGAGAGGACATATGAGAAGTCTCTCGGGGTAGGAAGGGGAAATAAGAAGAGGGTGGAATTGATAGGAGCAAGGTGCTGACCTCGAAAGCGCTGTATCGCAGAAGCTCGATATACTCCAGCTACAAGCTTAACTTGTATGACCGAATTCGTTCAATCTACGGCTGAGAACTTTCAATATTGTTTTGAATCCCTTCCAGCTGGGTAACCGTCAATTCATTTGCCCCAGTCGACGTTATTGGTTTGCGCCACGATTCGTAATCGAGCATTATGCCCTATTTAGCACTTTGCATCTGGCCATGGCTTGGGACTTTCCCCGCCCAATCTGCCCGTGCCCACCGTGGTGCTGGTGAAGGAAGATTCTTGTCGCCCAGCGCATCACCAGAGTGCCTAACAGTGTGATATTATAAGCTAAAAATGATCTTTGAGATTCGGGGCCGGATAAAACTTATTCCGTGCCGAGCACTTCAGCTTGGCGCCCAATCTTCTTGGGTACCCAACGAGCCAGCTCGCCAGGGACAAGGACTGTGCAAGGACTGTGCAAGGCAATCAAGCAACAGCTGGATCCCAAATCTCAGCTTGCCCGCTTTTTGGATCACATGGCTCGTGTCATGGACTGTTAGTTGAGTCTCTGTCCTAATCCAACATCTAGCTGCCATCATGACAGCTAACGCAAATACTGCGTCAGTCAGATCTCACAGCGACAGATTTCAGGACTGTGACATTGATCTCAGTACGAATGAATTCCGTTTGATTCGACTACTGCTCCAGACAGCGAAGAGTGTCGGGAGCTCACTGTCAATTGAATGTGAGCTACTTCATGCCGACTTCGACCTCCCTCCGCCGTGCAAAGCTCTCTCATACACGGGGGGTGATGCCAAAGATGGCAGCCGGGCTCGCCGGGTATCATGGCGCCCGCTTCTGCAACACTGGTCCCGCTCACAAGGCGAAGTATGCCGCAAAAGCTTCAATATTGCCTTGCAGGATCGGATTCCAATTGTTCGAATGCTGTGCCGTACAACGCCTTAGCCGTAGCCTGCAAACACATCAACAGTAGCATAATGCGCCAATGTTATCAAATACAACTTCTTCAGTCCAAGTGGGCCTCTTTGTCCTCACATTTTTCATCCATCACCACTTTGGAAGCTCGTCTGATGGCAGATCAACATGGAACATATCACCCGGCCTAAAGATCCGGTATTGCCATTAATGGTGATGCCGTACCTACCATCAAGTCCGAGAGATGAAAAATCCTTTCTGCAGCAACCTGTGTTTGGTAGAGAATTTGTGTACGAGGGCGCATTTCGACAGGATCTTTACAGAGGACTTCCGGCTCGAAATATTTTCGCAATGATGCAGTCAATATGGTTTTGTGGGCTTATTCAAAAAATTTTGCGAACAGACCTGGAAAGTGCCTTTCCGAAAAGGAGACCTCGTGAAGTTCGAAGGGGACAAAAGCGTTGTTGACACTTCTATCCTCTCTAGGTATGCTCAGAATTCTTGTGTCGCTATAAAAAGTCCGATCTCGCACACTATTTCGAAATGCTTTAAGTGTCCCATCGAACGATTGTAATATACGGGACTGATATGCAAACGGTTGAGAACAACCGCGGCTTTGACAGTATTCTCAAGGCATTCTACGGCGGTCAGGATATCATCTGCTCATGTGGTACACGGAGTGACAGTGGATCTATCTGATTGATTGCGTCTTGCCCCTCTGCCTGTTCAGAGCGACTTTGCCTGTTTATATATGCTTTTGGCCTGTAATCCGAAGGCCATTCCTGAAAACCTCCTATTCTGTTGCCATGCTGTCGCAGGTTGGTGAGAACAACGGTGTTGAGGTCAGTGTCGCAGTGGGTGTGACAGCCAGCGTCTCAGGATGGTTTGCCACAGTGGCTATCTTACAACCCTGTCAACAGGTTGCTCCCAAGACTTGCTGCTCCAATGCATTCCCGCCATCAACTCGACTTGGAAAACCCACTCGTCGGGTTAGTTCCATCTGCATTCTGATCGACCCAGAATGAAATACTGCAGAAACTTCAGGTTTGAACCTCTGTTATGGGAGAGAGTTTAATTTCTCGTATTTGTTCGTGTCTTGGAGCTGAGTTGAAAGGGAGCCTAATCTGGCGTGTCCAGTGACCGGCTATACCTGCCGCACAGTTAGACAGCTTGGGGTGACGTCACCACTGCCCGCACTAAGCGGTCGTCCAAGAACAGCTGTCAGCAAGCTTGATTGCGTCATGTTCCAACTATCGCGTTTTGCTTAACGCTACGAAGCAAGGAGCTCCTCCTTTCTACACGGCGTAGTACCGATTGGCGACTTGCAATTGAGTGTCTAACCGTCATACAACGCTGCTGCAATAATTATGTCGGGAATCGTCGAAAAGCTGACTGCTGAAGGGGGCGGTGAATCAGCAGGTGAGAGCATATGATGGCTTGGAGTTTTTCTGAGCCAGTCCTAAGCTAGACAGAGTTCTTAAACGACATCGTGAAGGAGTTATGGCCCAACATCAATGCGGCCGGCAGCAAAATGGTCAAGGAGATCGTGGAGCCCATGTTCAAGACGATGCTTCCTGGCCCACTGGCCACTCTGCACTTCACCAAGATCGATCTCGGTCCTGTACCTCTGCGGCTATCAAACGCAAAGACAACAAAGAGTGAATTAGATGGCATCAAACTCGACCTCAACGTTGACTGGGTGGGCAAAGCCGACATCGAACTGGATGCAGACATGATACCCGCCCTCGTGAGTGGTTGTCTGCTGCCAACCAGGTGAATGCCATTGATTCGTGATGCAGGGCGTCGAAAGCGTGCAGCTTCATGGCAGGCTTTCCATATTGCTATGCCCGCTAACAAACGTCATACCGCTGGTACGCAATTATTCCGCCACCGGCGTCCTCCCCATTGACATCCAATGCAGATCGGAGCCGCCCAGATATCATTCATCAACCCCCCAGTCCTGAAGCTCGATTTCACCGGCGCTGCCAACGTGGCCGATTTCTCGGTCATTGACGACACCGTCCGCAAGGTGATTCTTGGCATTATCAACTCCATGTTCACCCTTCCCAACCGATTCCTGCTTAAGCTTGACGCCAATGCCGACTACTTCAAAACCTACCATTACCCGCTTGGCATGGTGCGAGTGACCGTGGAGAAGGCATGGGGCTTTGGAGAGGAGGCGAAGTCGTCCACGAGAAAGTTGTTCAACAAGTTAACTGGCGCCGCTCCAGACTGCTATGCCAAGGTCGACGTCGGCGGAGAGGAATCGTGGAAGACAACCACGAAGAACAACACGAACAGGCCGACGTGGAACGAGACGCATGACTTTGTGGTGAGTGATTTTGATCAGTGCATTAAAGTGGACGTGGAAGATGAAGATGTCAACGGAGATGATGAAGTCGGCCTTGCGGTGACAACGGTTCGAGAGATTTTGGTGGCTGGGGGGAGCCAAGAACTGCCACTGGTTCACAAAGGCGAGGAAACGGACGGCAGAGTATCGATCTCATGCCAATTCTTCAAGTACGTGGCCGATGCCGGTAGCCTCACCGCTTCCGACCACAAAGGCGATGGTCGCCTCTCCGGCATCGCTACCATCCTAGTCGCAGGTGCATTCGACATTAAGGGCCAGCGCGAACACCTGAAGCCAAGCGTCGTGGTGACTTGGGGCAAGACTCAACGATTCCAGACCGCCATCAAGACTGATGCTCCCGGTACCGACATCAGCAATCCTGCATTCGACCAGGCGTTCCGACTGCCCATTACAACAGACTTGGTGGGTAACAGTCCGGACAAGTTCCGCATTGCACTTCTGGACGGCGAGAATGAGATCGGAGGCGTTGATATACCCTTTGCGAGTGTGGCGGATGCACCGGATAAGATCCTTCAGCAGAAATTTGACGTTGGTAATGGAGCCACTGTCAGAGCCAGCATCTGCCTGAGAGGCATTATTCCTGGAGAAATGCCCCAGGCGGCGCTTCCCGACAGACGCAAGTAGTAATACGTCGACCAATGTGACAGCATTCATACTTTATACCGACCGTGAATATCCCTTAAGATCATGCTCTCTAGAAATTAATATAAAAAGGTAAGAGTAGAACGTGCTATATAAAACATAGGGGGTG